TGGAGAGGAAGGCAGGGCTAATAATTTAGGAATTGTGATAGCTAATTCTAGGCTTTCCCTATTGCGTGAAGCCCAGCCAAAAGCTGACTGCCATCTGCAGATTCTTTCCCACAGTTCTTTTGTGATTGAGCAGTCAACTGTATTGTATGTTTGGACTTTCCAATAAGTAAATGCTGTACTAGCTAGTCTCCAAAGATGACCCTCAGTGAAACATGCCTCTCAATACTCATACTTCCATGCCACATTGGGATATGCACTAGCTCTGTGACTTTTTATTTTTATTTTTTTACACTTAAAAAATTTAAATTCTGTTAATTAACATATAGCATATTATTAGTTTTAGAGGTAGAGTTCAGTGATTCATCAGTTGCATATAACAACCAGTGCTCATCACATGCCTTCTTAATGTCCATGACCCAGCTGCCCCATCCGCCCACCCCCCTCCCCTCCAGCATCCCTCAGTTTGTTTCCTATGATTAAGAGTCTCTTATGGTTTATCTCCCTCTCTTGATTTTGTCTTATTTTTCCCTCCCTTCCCTTATGCTCCTCTGTTTTGTTTGTTAAATTCTATACATTGAGTGAATTCATATGGCAATTGTCTTTTTCTGATTGGCTTATTTGGCTTAGCATAATACCCTCTAGTTCCATCCACGTTGTTGCAAATGGCAAGATTTCATTTTTTGATGGCCAAGTAGTATTCCATTGTATATTATATATACCACATCTTCTTTATCCATTCATCTGTCTATGGACATCTGGGCTCTTTCCATAGTTTGGCTATTGTGAACATTCCTGCTTTAAACATGGGGGTGCAGGTGTCCCTTTGGATCACTACATTTGTATCTGTGGGGTAAATACCTAGTAGTGCGATTGCTGGGTCGTAGGGGCTCTGTGACTTTTTTTAAACTAATACAGTCCATCTGAAGTGATGCTATGCCTGTTCCAGGCCTGAATGTTAAGACAGTTTGACGGATTCTCTGTTTTTGCACTGTTGGGAACAGTGAACCATATGTAAGAAGTCTGGGTATCCTATTGGACTGCCTGTACTGAAAGACCACCTGGAGAGGGAGCAGCAGTGAGCGTACATGCAGAAAGAGAGAGGCCCAATCACCCTGGTTTCCCAGCTGAGCCCACCTTTTCCCACAAAAGTATTAGAAATGTGAGTGAAGGGGCACCTGGGTGGCTCAATCATTAAACGTCTGCCTTCAGCTCAGGTCATGATCCTGGGGTCCTGGGATTGAGCCCCACATCGGGCTCCCTGCTCGGCGGGAAGCCTGCTTCTCCCTCTCACACTCCCTCTGCTTGTGTTCCCTCTATCGCTGTGTCTCTCTCTGTCAAATAAATAAATAAAATCTTTAAAAAAAAAAAATGTGAGTGAAGCTATCTTGGACATTCTAACTCCAGCCACCAAAATGACAGTAGTCTCATGAGAGACTGTTGGCCAATAGGAAAAAAAAATCTAGATGTCCCACGAGAAGATGGCTTCTTGACTTTTCCAGGAATCATGAGAAATAATAAACTGATTATTGTTTTAAGGCACTCAGTTTTGGGGTGCTTTGTTAAACAGTAATAAATAGTGCAGGTGGCTAAGTGGACATTTTGAGTGACAACTTTCCAATTCTGCAGTTTAAACTTCAACCAGAGCCAACAAAATGCTTAGTCCCTGTTTTGTATGAGGAATTATGCTAAGCACTTAGGTTGCCTTATTCTTTTTCATTTAGAGATTACCTCAGGTGAAAAGGAATTTGTTATTTGGAAGAAAGCTAAGCTGATATTTTTATATTACAATGATCTTCAAATGTTTTTGTATGAAGTTACTGTTTTCACTTCTGAAATAGTATGACCACATAGTTGTGATGAGAGTTCCTTAGTTGAAGAAGATAAAGAATATTGATGGTGAAGATTTTTAGTTCTTTGAGAGATAATAATTGATGGCAGTGTTTGGCATTCTTGTAGGAATACCATTATAACATATATAATGGAAAGGAAGACGACCAATAAATACAAACTATTATGTAAAGCTTTGCTGCCCAGTTTTGCTTTATGCTATGAGCTTGTTTAAAAAGAAAGAGAGGTTTTGAAACATGAATAATGATGAATTTAAATTACACTTTCTAAGACAAAATCTTGTTCCAATTTGAGAACCTTGGAAATTGTCTTGAATTCTCTGTGGATTTGAAGCGTCAGTATTATTTAATTTCTGAAACCAAAGGTGGTAGATTGGTATGTAAGATCTTCAAAGGGCTCTACCAACTGCACCTCCAGAAATTATTTTCTTACTACTAATTCTTTTTTATTGTTAATGCTTTAATCACTGCTTAAAATTAAAACACACACACCTGTACCCTTAAATCTTAGAATATTAAATTAGAGGCCTCAGAAATGCCTTACTGTATGTAACTTGTATTTTATAATTTTTTTTAGATTGAGAGATGGGAAGGAAATAGACAAAGTAGTTTATTTCCCATTTGAGAAACTGTTCTTATTATAAATCTCTCTCTTTATAATCAAAATATAAGAAATGTAGAACATGGAGATACTTTTAGGAAAGGCTTCATTATTTTTTAACATGTTTAAATGGCAGATTGTGGGCCTTTAAACAATTTTTAAGGTTTTTTTCCCTAAAAAATATAATGATTAGTCTCTAGCCAAGTCCATTTCTTATCCTGATAGTTGTATATGGTTGCTGTTACATACAAAAATGCATCAGATGCAAGGGTGATGTTACCATCCTTTTTTTTTTTTAGACTTGTAAAGATTTTATTTTTATAGAGATGTTTTATGTTCACAGCAATATTAAAAGGGAGGTACAGAGAGTTCTCATATGCTGTCTGTCCCCGTACCTGCCTATATTCCCCATTATCAGCATCCCCCACCAGAGTGGTACATTTGTTATGACTGATGAATCTGCATTGACACATCATAATCACCCAAAGTTCATAGTTTTCCCCAGGGTTCACTCTTGGTGTTGTGCATTCTTTGGGTTTGGACAAACATATAGTGACGCTTATCCATCATTATAGTATTATACAGGGTAGCTTCACTGCCCTAAAAGTTCTCTGCCACCTATTTATTCTTCTTCCCCCGCTAACCCCAGGCAACCGATTATATTTTTATTGTCTCCATAGTTTTACCTTTTCCAGAATGTCATATAGTTGGAATCATACAGTATGTGGTTTTTCCAGGTTGGCTTCTCTCACTTAGTAATATATACTTTAGGTTTCTCCATATCTTTTTATGGTTTGATAGCTACTTTCTTTTCAGCACTGAATAATATTCCATTGTCTGAATGTACCATATTTGTCTATTCACCTATGAAGGACATCTTAATTCTTGCAAGTACTGCTGGTTCTGAATAAATCTGCTGTAAATATCCATGTTCAGGCTTTTGTGTGGACATGTTTTCAGCTCATTTGGATGAATACCAAGGAATGCAATTCTTGGATCGTATGGTAAGAGTATATTTAATTTGTAAGGAGTTGCCACACTGTCTTTCAAAGTGGCTGTACTATTTTACATTCCAATGTAGCAATGAATTCCCAGCAGTGAATGAGACTTCCTGTTGCTCCACATTCTCATCTGCATTTGGTGTTGTAGGTGTTTACAGATTTTGGCCATTTTAATAGGTGTTTAGTGGTATCTTGTTTTAATTTGCATTTCCTTGACATATTGCTCATTTGCCATCTATGTGTCTTCTTTGATGAGCTGTCTATTATGGTTCTTTGGCACATTTTTCTTAGCCACGTTGCTTATTTTCTAATTGAATTTTAAGAGTTCTTTGTATATTTTGGATAACAGTCCTTTATCAAGTGTGTCTTTTGCAAATATTTTCTTCTGATCTGTGGCGTAGTGTCTTGATAGTGTCTTTCACAGAGCAGAAGTTTTTAATTCTAACGAAGTCCAGCTTGTCAGTGATTTCTTTCATGGATTGTGCCTTTGTGTTGCATTTAAAAAGTCTTCTCTATACCCAAGTTCATCTAGATTTTATCCTATGTTATCTTCTAGGAGTTTTATAATTTTGCATTTTACGTTTAGGTGATCCATTTGACGTAATTTTTGTGTGTAAGTTCTGTGTCTAGTTCCTTTTTTTTTTTTCATGTGGAACTCCCATTTGTTCCAAAACCATTTGTTGAAAAGTCTTTGCTCCATTATATTGCCCCTACTCCTTTGCCAAAGATCAGGTTGCCTCTCCGTATTAACTTTAGAATCAGTTTGTTGATATCTATAAAATGTCTTGCTGGGATTCTGACTGGGATTGTACTGAATCTATAGATCAAGTTGGGAAGCACTGACATCTTGATGGTTTTGAGTCTTTTTATCCATGAACAGAATATCTCCCCATTTATTTAGTTCTTTGATTTTGTTCCACAGATTTTTGTAGTTTTCTTCATATAGATCATGTTTTGTTAGATTCATACCAGTTTCATTTTTGGGGTGCTAATGTAAAATGGCATTGTGTTTTAATTTCAAATTTGACTTGTTTATTGTTGGTATATAGGAAAGAGATTGACTTTCTTTTATTAACCTTGTATCCTACAACTTTGCCATAATTGCCTATTAGTTCCTGGAGTTTTTTTTTTGTTTTTAAGATTTTCTTTATTTATTTGACAGAGAGAGACAGCGAGAGAGGGAACACAAGCAGGGGGAGTGGGAGAGGGAGAAGCAGGCTTCCTGCGGAGCAGGGAGCCCGATGCGGGGCTCGATCCCAGGACCCCGGGATCATGACCCCAGCCAAAGGCAGACGCCCAACGACTGAACCACCCAGGCGCCCCTGTTCCTGGAGTTGTTGACCTTTCTTTGTTTATATCTACATAGATGATCGTGTCATCTGCAAATAAATACAGTTTTATTTCTTCACCATTTGTATACCATTTATTTCCTTTTTATTGTCTTATTGCATTAGTTAGTACTTCCAGTATCATGTTGATGGTCATTACCATTTTTATCCTCCTTTCTGTGAAATCTGTGTTAAAATTTTCTTCATTATATTTGTTCTGCAGCTCACCAAAGCGCATCGACAAGGGCACATGGTGAAAGTAGATTGGCTGGACAGATTGACATTTAGAGAAATAGAAATGATAAATGAGGTGGGTTGTATCCCTTTTTTGTCCCCCACAAATAGTTTTTCCAGATGTCTAAGTCAGGATTTTATAAGAAGCATTGTTTATTGCCAGGTTATCTCACAAATGTGAGAGCATTGAGAATAACTTGTGAGTTTTGTGTTAATAATTGGAAAACTTGGGATATCTGTTTTTCTTATTTTTTTTAAAGATTTTATTTATTTATTTATTTATTTATTTATTTATTTGAGAGAGAGAGAGAGAGAGAGAGAAACAACATGTGAAGAGGGAAGGTCAGAGGGAGAAGCACCCCGCTGAGCCAGGAGCCCGATGTGGGACTCGATCCCAGGACCCTGGGATCATGACCTGAGCCGAAGGCAGTCACTTAACCAACTGAGCCACCCAGACGCCCTGTTTTTATCTTTTAATATTATAATGAACCATGAAGTAGGCAGTGGACATCATAAGTGTACTAAGTATTATACAAGTGAAGCTGATATTAAGCTTGATGCCTCACTTGTGTGTTCTCTCTCCATTCGGCAGCTTATGTTTAGGTTCAGTTCAGTATTGGATTCTTTCAACACAGTGCTGCCCCTTTACTTTAGTTACCTTAAGTCACTGTTAGTAATCCCTGTCCCCAGTTAAGATACTGTGTGTTTTATGTGCTATACTACATATAGGACTCTGCACCCTTAGTAAAGTTACCTGGTTCAAAGTCATTTATTTGTTTCTTGATCTTGTTTATTGGTCTAGAATATGTTTAATTAAAAGATGGCTTCCATGAAACTTTCCAAAAGTTAGAACAAAATTTTTTCTTTTTTATATATTTATACTGAAATACTAGATGTGTGGCTTAACATTCTGTGTCTAGAGAGTAGAAAGAACAATTATTGTAATCACATTAGCAGAGAGGAATGTCAGTTTTTGTGATATGCCTAATTTATTGTGATCACCACAGGGCATAACTGACTTTATATTCTCTGCATGATTTTTAGTGGGTTGAAAGAGAGAGAAATTTTAATTTTATAACGAACACTTATAAAAGTTAAATTCTACTATTGTTCATTTTTTAAAAAAAATTAGTTGTGTTTAACAGTGTTTATATTCAATATCAATAAACTGGGCTTCTTTTCTAAATTTATTCATAATGCACTCTCATATACCAAAACTGAAAGAAAAGTTTACTTTTTTGAATGTTTATAATAGTCATTCCTAAAATAGTTAAATAAAAATGTTTACTTATATTTTTCTGCTCTTCAACTTAGATAGCCTTTGGTATAGAAAAGTCGGTGTTAGGACTCACTTTGTTGAGCCGTACTCACCTTTTCCACCCCCGCTCTTTAAAAGATAGGAGAGCATTGCCATTACCATAATTTGACTATAATATATGTCATAAAGCTCTACAATTTAAGTGATTTCTTTAGACCTTTATGATTTTATATATAAAAATGTAAAGTCATTTTTAAAACTGGTTTAAGATTTATCACCCTTTTAGACTTCTTTTATCTTCACTTTATTATTGTCCTAGTGTTTCCTTTTTTTTAAGGGGACATGTTGTTATGTTGGAGAAAAAGTAACTATTCCCCAGTATGTTTAAAGTATATTGATAAAAATTTACAAATGATTGCCAGTTATCTTAAGACCACTTATAAATTGTGAAAAACTTGTGAAGGTTGTTTATGATAATGAAAGAAAAATTTGTTATATTTGAAGTTGTACTTGATAGATCATGTATTAGTGAATTGGAAATAATGATGCATACCGCTCCTTTAAGGGAATGTTGAAGATCATGATTTTCCATAAAAAACTCTCTTTTTTTTGTTTTTTTTTTTAGAGTGAGAAACGAAGTTCTAATTTCATGTACTTGATGGTTGAGTTTCGGTGTGTCAAGTGTGATGATAAGGAATATGGTATTGTTTATTATGAAAAGGTATTTGCCTTGGAACTGTTTATGGTCTCTAAAGTAGAGGGGAAGGGAAACATTAAAAAGAATTCCTGTTGTAACTGCTGAGATGAATTCTTTGGTTGCAGGATAGCAGCAGACAGCTGTCAGCAGTCGCTGTTTGTATATACACAAGTCAGATCATGGAGCTACAACAAGATTACGAAAGCCGATCATTCATGTAATGCAGTTCTGGGTTTCAGAAGTCAATAAATATGAAACAAATTAAAAACTTTTTGATTAATTGCTCTGCAAATTGGCAAGTAGGGCATTAAAGCAATAGCTTTATTAGTAATTAGTATTCATTTGAAAAATAAAAAGGGAATCCGTTTTTAAGTGATAAGCTATTGAAAGTTAAGGGTATGCTTACTATTTGGGACATTATATTGCAAAAACATACTAATGGAAATGGTACTTTCAAACATAAGAGATGTGAAGAATCGTTTTAAAGACAGCTTTGATAATAGATGAAATAATAACAGAATAAAAATTAGAAGAATTTCAAGTATTTTTGAAAAGGTTCTTGACCCCTTTCTACTGCTTCTTGAAAATTGCTCATAAATTAATGCCTGTCTACCTACCCTGTCATATTTCCACTTAGTGTAAAGATTGCTGGGCCAGTGTATTGAATCTAATGGAAGTAGACTTTCTTGTCACCTGTCTTTTGTGACAGATAGCCTTAGTGAAGGTTACTTGTCACAGTTGGGCTGATAAATGTGTTTTCTGGTGTTGTGACTGAGAACCAGCCTGTTAAACAATGGCTGTGGGAATTTGTGGTTTTCTGTAAGACTCAATTACTGAACTAAAGTCAAGTCCCGATACTTCCCTTCTTTCAGTCTCTCCTGATTTGGTTGCACGTATCTAACATTGGAAATACTAGCATTTGGAAATTGACAGAAAAGCTTGATGCGAAGTGTACAGTTGTGAGGAAATGAATTTTGACCTTGATTAGTTTAGCATTTTCCAGTATGTATGCAGTGACAATTATTATACTGAATTACCAAAAATGATAATACCAACAAAATAAGGCAGCTTTGTTTCTTAAGAATTGATGGATTAATTCTTCTTATTCAAGTTTGCATTGTATTGAGTAGAAGCAATGCTGCTGAGTCTCTAGCTGTGTATAAATTTCAGTAACATTAACTCCATGCTTAAAATCCAACTTCTTTGAATGGAACTCAGTTGTGATAATTTGAAAAGTTACCAACATCTACTTAGTTTTTGCAAATGATACAACACATCCCTTGTGCCATAATTTATACTTTGTGGTTTCTTGTTCTAAGTTTGAAAATTAGGACATACTATTTTTGACCCTATTTTTGACCCGCTAGCATTATAAACAGAGTTAAAAATAACTGACAAAAACAATCTACTGATTTCTAGACCTCATATATCTAAAAACTGTACGAAGTTTTTATTGTTAGATTTTATTTTTCCCCAAATATTTCATCAGCAACAACAGGTAAAAAATGGATATATATTTTAAAATACAGTTGAAAGAAAATGCTTTTTTAAAAGGGAGGAATGATGTTCATTAAATAGAACTAAAATACATTGGAGTATACATTATCATGTATATTATTTCTTACCATTTGGTTAAATTTTGTTAATTTTTTTTTTAACTTACTACACTGTAATCCAGGATGGTGATGAGTCATCTCCAATTTTAACAAGCTTTGAGATAGTAAAAGTTCCTGACCCTCAGATGTCTATGGTGAGTTATTGTCAAATTTCTTATGAAAGTGCTTTTCTCCAGAGTGATTATGACTTGGATTCACAGCATACACTTTCTTTTAAGAAAGTATATCTGTAACTAACTCTAAAAGTGATTTGTAAGTCCATTTTTAGCCATCTGGAATCAGGTTCAGGTGGAACTTTTACAATATCAACATCTAAAAATATGGTCAGGATAGTATAGTGTTGGGGAACCATTTATTTGAATTACTGGAAGAGTTAGGGGATATAGTCTTGAAGTGAGAACTTAGGGAACAGGTACTTGAATGATTGTCATCATATGGGAGGGGAGTTTGTTTATACAAGGATGTAACACTGGGTTCAATGGATGGGAATGTTAAGGAGAGTGATTTTGTTGAAAAAAATCTGGAAGATCGTTGTAGCTACTAGAACTGTTTAATTTGAATCATGGTGACTTGGATGATTTTGAGATACCCATCTATGGAATTTTTGCGATGATAGTTCGGGGATATGAAACAAGAATTCTTAACTTTGTAACAGGTTTAATGAGGTGACTTTAAATTTAGAAAGTTTCAGGCAAAAGATCATTTTCATAGCATAGTAGATACCATGATATTCACACAACTCGTGACATCACCCTGAACCATTTTATTCTTATTTTTTATAATTGGATTAGTTACCTTCCTAATCAGACCAAAGTGAATTTAAAGTAGCATATTAGAAGATAAAAGCATGATGAGGGAGGTAAATACAGGTCATTAAAACAGGAAGTAATGACCGATGGCCCAACATCAAAGGAACAGACAGGAAAAAAGAGTATAAAAAATTAGAAAAAAAGGCAACTTGGGAATTTTTTGCAAACAAACATCCTAAATATGATAAAGGTGACATTTCATCTTTGGAACATAGTGCTGGGGAACTGATTAGCCATTTGGAAAAAGATAAAATTAAATCAGACCCATACCTCACATCATACATAAAGAAAAATTCCAAGTAGATCAGGGATTGGATTTAAGTATTAAAAAAAAACCAAAGCCTTCCTAGTACTTTACTTTCAGTGTAGGGAAACACTTCTAATAATGACTCAAAATCCAGAGGCAATAAAAGAAGTGATTAATAAATTTGACTGCATTAAAAAAATTGCATGGCAAAACACCGTAACAAAGTCAAAAGACAATAGACAAACTAGAAGACACTCTTCTTGACATTTATCACAAAGGGATGAATAGCTAATATATGGAGAATTCTTAAAAACAAGTGACAGGGGCACCTGGGTGGCTCAGTTGGTTAAACAACTGCCTTCAGCTCAGGTCATGATCCTGGAGTCCTAGGATTGAGTCCTGCATCAGGCTCCCTGCTCAGCGGGGAGTCTGCTTCTCTCTCTGACCCTCCCCCCTCTCATGCTCTCTCTCTCAAATAAATCAATAAAATCTTAAAAAAAATAAATAGTACATGGATAGTGCTCTTTAAAAAAAACAAACAAAAAAACAAGTGACAAAGCAGCAAAAAACCAGTTGAAGGGAGAAAGACATGAGAAGACAGTTCACACATGCAAAAATAAGTAAAATAAGTCTCTTTAAGCAAAGAGTGTATGTTCAAAACTAATGATTTTGGCCATAGGTAAAATAGTTCACACCAAATATGTATATATTCAACCGTTATGGTCATCATCCCTGCCCTCAGTTACTACTGGCATTTGAACTGTTAAGATGATAGTACAGTGATATCCCAAGTTCACTAGTAGCTCATAGGAAGAGGGAATGCTTTAGTCTGGGTTGTCAGGGAAGATTTTAGAATGAAGGTTTTATCTGAGTGGGTAGAGGATGTGAAAACCTTGAATATATGGAGAATTAGGGGTATTATGAGATGTTTTAAGAAGCTGGACTGGTAAATGCTTATTATGGCACTAGTGAAGCATAAGCATGTTTAGTTTCCCTATCATAAAATGGTGATTTTTTTTTTTCAATTTCATTTTCTTTTTTTTTTTTTTTTAAGATTTATTTATTTATTTTAGAGAGAGAATGGAGGGAGGGACAGAGGGAAAGAATCTTCAAGCATACTCATCTCTGGTGGTGGAGCCTGATGTGGGGCTTGATCTCAGGACCTATGAAATCATGACCTGAGATGAAAAAAATGGTGATATTTTTAAAAAAATACATGGACAAAAGTTGTAACAAGAATAAAATGTTAAGTATTATAAAATGGTCTTAAGTGAGCAACTATTTATTTTTGCATTTTCTAATTGTTGAAACTTTTGATGAAGTTTACATAATTGATTAATATTTATAAATAATTTATAGGAGAATTTAGTTGAGAGCAAACACCACAAGCTTGCCCGGAGTTTAAGAAGTGGACCTTCTGACCATGATCTCAAACCTAATGCTGCCACAAGAGATCAACTAAATGTAAGAGAATTTATAAACTATTAATATAAAAAAATGAAATGTGTAATTTGGTTGCAACTGATCTGATAACCACTTCATTTGAAAGTGATTCAAATGCATGTTTTTTTCCAGGGTAATGAAATCTATATAATTTCAACAAATTTGCTTTTTCTGTAGTTTTTGTTTCTGTTTTGTTTTTTTTTTTAAATCATTTTGGGACTAAGAAAATATATTAACACTGGAGGCAGAGCTACAAATAGTATATACTTTCTTGATATAGCTCTCTTAGAAACTGGCCCTAAGGTATTGTCTGAGAGAAGCCTTGGTGTGCACATGTGCGTTGTGTGTGTTGACTTGATAGGGGAAATGTTTATTGTTTATAACAATATCTGTAACTAACTCAGTTATCTAAAAGGGGGCTTTTGTTATTTTGATTTGGTTTATTTTTGGTTGAATGAAATGAGCTCTGTAGTTACAGATTTTTATATGGAGTGTGACTTTTTAAGTTTCGTCTTTTTCTCCCCCTGCACTCCAATAATATCCTTTTTAGACTAATAAGTACAGCAAATTTAAGTTTTACTCTGCTGCATGTACATTCTCCCTACTTCTATAAAAGTTCTATTATAGAAATATTTAAATAAATGAAAAATTTTTAATGAAATGGAAATAGGAAGAATATATTTGACAAAAGTAGTTTTTTTTTTTTCTTTGTTGTAGATTATTGTGAGTTATCCACCAACAAAGCAACTTACATATGAAGAACAAGATCTTGTTTGGAAGTTTAGATATTATCTTACTAATCAAGAAAAAGTGAGTATCTTGAATATTTTTATATGTCAGATTTATCTGTAAACTTTGTTGCTAATGAATAAGATGAAGTTAAACTGCCATGGAAATAGAGTGTTACTGTCAAATTAAAAACAAATGTTATAGGGCAATATGTATGATACCTTAGTTTTTTAAATATTACAAAGGGTATATACACAAAGACACAGGTACCAGTTTGTTGGTACCAGATTATGCATAGATGCATAGTTTGAATGGATTAAGTCAGAGAGACTTGGGTTCAGTTTCTGGCACTTGTACTTACTCTTACTATGTAAGGTTAGGAGAATTGCTTTGGAAGCTTGGTTGACACTCCTAGACATTTGCTTTTCTTAATGAAACCAAGGAATTGATGAAGTTTCTGGAGAGAGAATTATGATAAATTTACTCAGCGGTAGATTTGGGTCTGGAGACTTGGTTCTGAGTCTTACTATTGCCTCTAAGAAGAAGCTTTTTGACTACTGGCCTATCACTTCACCTGTCTGAATTTTAGTTTTTCATATATAATATGAGTTGATTAAATAATTGTGAACTTCTCAGTCTCTTTTAGTACTTAAAGTAGCCTGTAATTTCTTAGAACATAGGTTCAAGGATTAACTCTTAAGTTAGAATAATAATAACTGGTATCTATTCACCAGCCATGGTGTGCCAGGGATCTTTTCAGTCACACAGCAACCCCACAGCATCAGTGTTAATATTGGTGGTCTACAGATGAGGAGACCGGTGCAGCAGCACAGAGCTTACAGATGCTACCTCTTAATGTGCTCACATCTCTGAGTTAGAAGCAAACTCAGTCAGTGAAGCCGTAGAAAAGTGGATTGTAGAGAAAATATTTGCAACATCATGCATGTGCCTCAGCAGTTCTGAAACGTGTTGGGGACAAAACATAGAAGTGTCAGGAAAATTAATATCTGTCAGAAAGCTATTATATAATTATATAAGAATGAATGAATATGTTTTACAATCTCATGAGACAGTCTTTAGCTGCTTTGTTGAACTTGTTTTTCTGAAACAATTACATTTCTATTAGTTTCTCAAGTAAAGATAAAAATTCATTTGCAGCTCATCTTAACTCTCCAGCTTTTCTTCTTTATCTTTTATTGATGCCTTGGGAAATTCTTTGTAGATGAATCATATCAACTCTTCTTTACATCCTTAACAAGAGTGAGAGAAGAATTTTAAATTTACTATAGCTTTGAATGTTATTCTCTTCATCACTGCAAAAAAGGAAATATTCATCAGTAGAAACTGAGGTTGTGATTCTGTTTTATAAAAAGATTGAGTTAGTACATGATACTCAGTTAAATGAAGAATAACCTTGGTCCCAGCAATTGCATCTTGAATGTAGCACAGTGTTTTCTAAAATATACAGCAAGATATTGAATTAAACCTGTTAGAATGTATGGGTTCAAGAAGCATAGAAAAGATTTACGGAGCAGAACTGCCTTAGATAGAAAGGCTTGCAAGAAAAATTGTTTGTTTAAACAAGTAGTCACTTCCCACTGAAATTCAATTACTTCTAGATACGTGCAAAAGAAATAAAATGCTCAAGTGATATAAAGTGTGTGACAAGTTTCATTTAACTAGTTGATTTCAAGTTTTCGAAAGGTGGGTGATGAAACTTCAATTCTCAGGACATATTATAGGATTCTTATGATCACTAGAGTAGAGCAAATGATATTTCTTAATGTTTGGGAAGTCCTTTTCAGTAAACCAAATATATATATTGGCCTTGAAGGGACCAGAGGAATTATTCACACAGCCGCATTTGTATCTTTGTAATAATTTAAAATGGGTTTTGTAGAAAACAAATACTCTTGTACCCCTGTCCTTTAATTTATTTACACAAAGAAATTCTTTCAGTGTCTCAGAAACTGATTTAGGTTATTTGGCATTTGGGCCCCAAGGCTGAAAAGATTTCCTGGAGAGAAAACAGTACTCAGAAAACAAATTGATAGAAATTAGTTCTTACAAAGTAATACTTCTTATTTACTTTTTAATTAAATTTGGTCTTTCCACCTATTTTTTTCTAAATGACCTGTCTTAAGTACTTTGGATGAAAACCCTCTAGTCTGGATTTGATGTTGGACCTAAAAAGTTAACTAACCACTTTGTCTAGCAAAACCAGTGAAATTTAGGAAGAATTTTTAAATATGTGGTTCATACTATGTAGGAAGTGACTTATTTTTATGAAATCCAAAATGTGAATGTTGTAACTTTCCAAACCAGTAAATGGTAAATGGCTTCTTCTTATAAAAATGTTAATTGAAATTAACTTTGTTAATGCTTTTTTATTATCTTTGGGGGAAAAAAGCAGTAGGAAGAGTCACATGTGGTGAAGATAATAGTGATGCCCTGAATGTTCCTGTGAGGCTGTTTCTGAAGTAGCTACTGAGACAGTGACATCAGGACAATAATCATATTTGTGCTTCCTGTCAAAAAGTTGATGACGAACCCTAACAGAAATGAATTCAGTTCAGCAGGCTTTTGTTACCACTCTTGGCCTAGTATTATTCAAGACTCTGGGCTTTGAAATACCATTTCTCTGTCTTCATATAAATTAAAACTGTTTTAGGGAAAGGATATCTCTACACAATCAAAATGGAGAAGCATAAGCATGTAATTGATTAAAGGTTATTCTCTTAAACATTTAGGTAATTACTATAATACAAATGTAGAGTAGAACAAGCTCGATGTGCTGTGATATGAAGGAAGTTTAACAGAGCAAAAGTAGGTCTTAAAGTTTGAATAAACTTTGATGATATTTTTATTTGGTGATCATTTTTCATGGGGAAGAAAAGCATGAGTAAGGCAGTATGTTAGATTCAGAGACAAAAAAATTGTGTTGAATGGTTATGAAACAAAGTTTGAGTCTTGAATTCAACGCTTGGGAGTTGGATTTCACTGGCAGTAGGAAACCACTAAAGTAACAGAATGTGAAAAAAAAATGTGTCTTAAGTAATGTTTTAGGGGCGCCTGGGTGGCTCAGTTGTTGGGAGTCTGCCTTCAGCTCAGGTCATGATCCCAGAGTCCTGGGATCGAGCCCCACGTCAGGCTCCCTGCTCTGCGGGAAGCCTGCTTCTCCCTCTCTCACTCCCCCTGCTTGTGTTCCCTTTCTCGCTGTGTCTCTCTCTGTCAAATAAATAAATAAATAAAATCTTAAAAAAAACGGTAATGTTTTAAGGAAGTCAAGCCAGGATGGATTGGAGCAGATCTGGGAATGAAAAAAGAGACCTAATTAGGAGGCTCATGGTATGATTTTTAAGAGTGATATTGGAAGACAAGGGAAGGAGAGGAGAATGTATAAAATAACTTGGTGACACCTCCCAGGAGTTAGGCTTGAGTGCCTGAAATAAGGAAATATGGCAAATGGAAGGAGCACAGTGAGGAGATATTTTAAATTTTGAGTCTAAAGTATTAGAAGCACCAGTGTGATATTGTGATCTAGTAAGAAATAGATATTTGGTTTTTGTCTCTGTAAGAAATATATATTTGGTTTTTGTCTCTGGCAGAGTTTCTAAAGCCCTGAGAATTTCCTTAGTGGTAGGAATGAGAGGAGTGTCTTTTGTTATTCGTAATAAACCCCTTTCAACAGTAACAGAGTTTATCCTAGTAAGATGACTCTTGCTTGAGGGGGCTGGTTGCTAGAGGAACCAACCAAGTGATTAGAGAGTTGGAATTTTCAGCCCCACCCCCTAACCTCTGGAAGAGGGACTAGGAATTGCATTAATCATTACTGGCCAGAAATTTAATAAATCATATGTAATGGAACCTTCATAAAAACCTATAATGACAGGGTTTGTAGAGCTTCTGGGTTGGTGAATGCATCCATGTGACAGCAGAGTGGCACACCCAGACTTTTATAGGGACAGAAGCTCCTTTGCTTGGGACCCTTCCACACCTTGCCCAGTGTACCTTTTCATCTGGTTATTCATTTTGTATCCTTCATAATAAACTGGCAATAATGAGTAAAATATTTCTCTGAGTTTTGTGAGCTGTTATAGCAAATTACTGAACTTGAGGAATGTGTTGTTGGTAACTTTTGATTTGTAGCCACGTCAGATAGAAGTGTGGGCAACCTGGGGACCCCAAATTTGCAATCAGCATCTGAAATGGGAAGCAGTTTTGTGAGACTGACCCATTAACCTATGGAATCTTCAGTAATCAAGGTAGTTTCAAATTGAATTAGATTGTGGGACACCTAGTTCGTGTCCTCAGAGAATTAAGGAATTGTTTGGTGTGGAAAACCATACATTTGTTGTCAGAAGTGTCCTGAGTAGAGGAATGGGTTTCTCTTTAGCAACAAATTAGAAATTTCCAGTAACTTACTTGGTAGATGTTAAAAATTGAAATATATATGGGGAATGTAGGTTTTTCAGCTCTGAAGTGATTGTGAACATGATTCTAAGAGTAGGAGATAATAGTGGGGAGGTTCTAAGATCAGAAGAGAGGTTAATAAAATATTGCTATTAATATAAAACATGGAAATAAATGTGTTAATGTTAACATTTGATGTTGACTCAGCATCAGAAATAGAATAACAGTGATATCAGATAATAAAATAATTAACATCAAATATTTGTTATAAAGTACTGTTCTAAACATTTACGTTCAGTAACTTTAATCATTACCACAGCCTTACAAGATAAGTCATTTAAAGTTAAATAGTGTGCTTCTAATGACTCAATTAATAATTGATGGAGTTGGGAATTAGGATTTGACCCCAAACACTCTGCAGTTATCTGTGGAAATTCTAAGGATAAAATTACATCATTTGAATCTTGTACCTTTACATACATTAATTAATAAATTAAATTTATTATTTCACTTTTTTTATTTAAGAAGTATTGCTTTGTTTCGACATTCAACATAGAAATTACATTTTAGAAGTGAAAAATAAATGCATGGAATAAGTTAGGGTAGTTTGTGTTCTTACATGGAGAAGGCAGCACTCTGCTAAGTGGCACATGGGAGGTACAGACGAAATGGATAGCTAATGTTGTGGAACGCAGACTCCAATTGTAGAGATAAGAATGCTCACCAAAGCATTTGGCAGTTAGAAGAGCATCATTTGAATGAAGAGAGTAAAATTGAGGCAACTACTAAAGGAAGAGCTCAGAGTTGCTGAAAACTTACTGGAAAAGTTGAGTCTTTGACAAGCTGGCCTTGAAGATGACGCTACTATTTGGGTTAAGAGCTTTGTAGATAGGAGTTAGACAAAGTCATGTAAAAAATAGGTTAGCTTGGTTGAAACATAGAAGGAGAATGAGAGGTCAGTTAATGAGAGTTAGAGGATTGTGGTGAGAAGTATCATTGGAGTGTTTGGGAAAGAAGGCAGGGTTTTGTTGTTATGTTTGTATATTGGTTTTGTTTGTTTATAAATTAGATCCTATTATCTAATGGGAAACCACAGTATAACCATATGGCAGTCATCATCAACTATTGGAAAAGCTGCCCATGTGGTGGGGTTAAATTTACTCTCATTCTCCCCATTAAAACTGATCGGTGGGAAGAAGTTACATGAAAACACATTTGTCTTTTGGTACGTTACAGTCAAAAAAAAAAAAATGGCTTCACTGTCTATAAAAACAGTGGGTGCTTTGGAAATTAGTCACTGGAATTAAATAAATATTAGGTCTCTTTTTGGCAGGGATGTTAGAAGATGAATTTCTGCTGACAGTTGGAGAGTCATTCTGACATCACTTCCAACTTGAGCTTCTGAGAGTCTGTATGAAACGATTAGAAGTGAAACTAGTATTAAGGCTCTTAGCTAGAAGGCTAAACCAAACTCCACATGTGTGGTGTAGTGAGAATCAACTTGAGGGGAAAATGCAGGAAATATTGCTAGGAAATAACGGATAGGAATTGGGAATGGATTTAGGAGATCAGTGTTGGTGGAATAATGTCTCTAAGGAGCATGGGTTTAGCTAATTAGGAGACAGCAGTATCTTAATGTTGGGGGGAACCATCTGGTGAAAGATGCATGGGCTGAGAGTTAGTGGACCTTGATTTTGGGTGTAGATTGTCCACCATTTTGAGATGATGGGTAAGCCACTTAACTTCACTGAGATTATATACAGTTTGAGCAGTGGACTAGATAATCTCCAATGTGCTTTTTTGCTTAATTTAGTTAAATCAAGAATAAGTTAGGGGATGGGCATCAAGGTTCATTTTATGTCATACTAACCAGTAATTGTGTTTTATTGTCCAAAAAGACATTTTCTTGAGAATTTGATTAGTTTACTAATGAAAAGATTTTAGTTGGGCAGAATAGGAATTTAAAATTTTAAAGTTACCTTTGTTCAAAAGATGAAATCATGCAGAAAGAAGAAAATGGGATCAGCCTGGAAAGTGTTCCCTGTAGTAAGATGTGACAATAGAGATCTTTTTTTTTTTAATGGAAAACAAGTATACAACTGTTTTAAAAGAGCATTTATTATGTATGCAACCATAAGTGTTATGCTCCAAGGTCATTTACTTACCTGGATGATCTTGTGAAAACTTCAGATAGTAGGTATGCTGCCTATCTAAAGAAGTGAGGTTCCAGAAGGGCACTACGAACAGGCAGCTGAATCATAGAACATTTGCTGCTGCTTCTGTATTTATCTGTATGCTTCTTTCTGTGGAATTTTTGATTATCTTTTTAAAAAGCTACTTCTCTGTGTAAGAGCTGTACATATTTAATTTAGTTTAAGCCCTCATGTGTGAGTATCTAGGAAACCCAATGATCTGGGGAGGTGTTTGAGAGTGAGGTTAGCGGTGGGGATTCTACCCTTGCTTGACTTTGGACTCTTCATTCATTGGCTGCAGTATTTTATGTCACATGTTGATGTTATAAAATGAAGGTTGTCTTTAAGGCATTTCATGAGAATATGCCTCATCTCTTTTATTTTCATGTCTTGAGGCCCGCACTATTTTAAAATAAAAAAAGGAAAATGAAGAAAAGCCAAAGAAAACTTAAAAATTCATAGTGCTTGAATTTATGTAAGTGGTTTAACCTGAAAAATGTAAAGTTACAGGGAACATGTTTCTTTTTTTTCCTCTGTCCTGTAGTATTTTTCTAGGATCATATGTATAACTATGTTTAGTGACTACACAAGGAGCTAGTCTGTCATCGACTCTTGTGACTCTGCCATCAGCACCAAGTGAAACTCTGCCTAGTCACCCTTGACCCTTCGTTACCCCAGGTAATAGGCTGTTGTTTCTAATTTTAACATCTTTTCTGATTTTAGGCTTTGACTAAATTCTTGAAATGTGTTAATTGGGATCTACCTCAGGAGGCCAAACAGGCATTGGAACTTCTGGGAAAATGGAAGCCAATGGATGTAGAAGACTCTTTGGAGCTGTTATCCTCTCATTATACCAATCCAACAGTGAGGCGTTATGCTGTTGCCCGGTTGCGACAGGCAGATGATGAGGTACATTGTTATTCATTACTCCTCTTTGACTGGGTACTTTTTTTTTTTTTTTAAGTAGGCTCCATGCCCAGCGTGGAGTCCAGTGCGGGGCTTTGAACTCATGACCCTGAGATCAAGACCTGAGCCAAGATCAAGAGTCAGACGCTCAACCGACTGAGCCACCCAGGTGGCCCAGACTGGGGTACATTTTAAAGTAGAGCCTGATTATAGGCTCTATAGCATATCCTTCCCCCGCCCGTGTGTGTGTGTGTGTGTGTGTGTGTGTGTGTGTGTGTGTGTGTGTGTGTGTGTGTGTGTGAGAGAGAGAGAGAGAGAGAGAGAGAGAGAGAGAGAGAGCGAGAGAGAGGGGTGGCATGGGGAGGGAGGGAGAGAGAGATTTTTAGAAGCGAAGAGGATGTACTAGGTGTGTTTTCAGAAGTAAAATTAAAATATTCCTCCAAGGACTCTTCTGTGAAATGAAAATTTACTTCCTGATCTGTTACATGATAGGACAGTCTCTCCCAGGACATTTACCTGGCAGCAGAGCTTGTATTGCTCTGTCTGGAAAAAAGAATTCTAATGAAAAATGGTTTAATGCAGCACCAGCTAGGGAATAATTCAGATCCCCTCTATCAGTCAGTATACAACAAGCCACATTTAATTGCAGCCTTGCAAAGCCCTTGGGGCCTTTAAAGCATAGAGGTGCATGGTCATCTTATTCTCCTTCAGACTTCTCCTTTAAACTTTTAGTTGCTGACAATTATATGTATATGTAGATTTCTGAAGGTGGTTTTGAATCCCCTGGAAAGCAAAGACTGCAAACTTTATGCTGGCTATTTATATACCTATAAAGCCACCGGGGAAGGAGGAACACTATGTCGACACAAAGCATTGCTGAAGTTTGAATTTTAGTAATTGCTAATAAGATAGAGTAATCCAACAATTTTTTTTTTACTTATTAATTTTTATAGGGTGGATGTCTTTTCCAAACATAACCTAATAGTTTATGCTAGCCCGCAGGGCTTATGGGATATGGGATAACTCTTCTCAAGCCTTGATATATATAGGAATGTTGATCCCATAGAACAACTAATATCGAAGATCTTTTTAAAAAAATCATTTCGAATTCATAGTGGCAAAACACAGCATTTACTAAGGTCAATAAGGTTGATGTATATTTGTATTTAATTATTGTAAAATGTAAACAATAAATAGTGTAGTGAATGCTCACATATAATTTACCCATCTTCAGCAGTTGCCAGCTCACAGCTGGTCTTATTTCATCTGTAACAACACTTATTGCCTCTTCTCCATTCCCTATCCTCCACTGGATTATTTGGAGGCAAATCTCAGATATTGTATAATTTTATTTCCTGTTAAAAAGCAATCCTAAGGGGCACCTGGGTGGCTCAGTTGGTTAAGCGTCTGCCTTTGGCTCAGGTCATGATCCCAGAGTCCTGGGATCGAGCTCCATGTCGGGCTCCCTACTCAGTGGGGAATCTGCTTCTCTCTCTGTCCCTCACCCCACTTGTGTTCTATCTCACTCTCTCTCAAATAAGTAAATAAAATCTTTAAAAAAATAAAAAGCAATCCTAAGCATTGTGATTCAGCATATTATCTTTCTTCCTCATTGTCTTTACTGTATCACAAGTAAAAGTTGAAATGTGGAAATACTGAAATATTTATTTTGAAATTCATTAGAAATTTAATTTAAATCATTGATTCTCTATGTTTGACATGAGTCATAGAGTTTAGCTAAAGACCTCTGGGCTGTAGTCAAGACAGCCTCTTGATGTGGGTTCAGAATTTAAATAGAAAAATTTGTAAGTTCTCATTTTTTATTGTCTTACTTCAGTTCCCTCAAAGGCTTATAAACTAAGTATTTGATTGTGGTGATAGCCATGTTCATGCAGGTACTGAACTGTTTCTAGGCCATTTTATGATTTTTGTTACGATGTAGAGAATAATGATAGAAACATTGTGTACACTTTAAACTGCAAGATATGATAGTTTTTTGAGGTTTTATTTTTTTTTTAAGATTTATTTGAGAGAGAGAGAGAGCGTGAGAGCACGTGGGTGGTGGGAGGGGCAGAGGGAGCAGAAGGAGAGAAGCAGACTCCTGGCTGAGTGGAGCAGGTTGAGGGGCTCGTTGTGGGCCTCGACTTCACGACCCTGAGATCATGACCTGAGCTGAATTCAAGAGTCAGATGCTTAACTGACTGAGCCACCCAGGTGCCCCTTGAGGTTTTAGAGATCTAGATAGCGTAAATAGTATGATGGGTAAGTTATCTCTTGATTTTCCTTTCTCTGAACTTAGTTCAGTAATAAATTGTATATAGTCGGCTAAAAAAAGATCTTTTAATTCTGTTACTGCTGATTCTTCGGATGTATATTGAGATGAATTTTGTCTTTTCTCTGACTCAGTGTACCTATATATATGTCTTTGGGAACACCATATATTATTCTGTTTCCTGTCAAAAAAAATAGTGATAATTGCTGCTTATGTCACTTGATAGCTATGAGGAAAGATTACGTGGGGGCATAGTTTTGAAAACTGTATTCATGCACATATATAGAAAGATTGCACATGTATATTCTGTAATCTTTATACTAAAATCATTTATATTGTTAAAAACGTGCCTTCTTTACTGAACAGTGTAATCTTGGACATTTTCTCATTATCAACACATATTTGGTTCCATGAAGTCTGGAAACATAGACAAATAAATATCAGGGCAAATGATGTCAAGGGCATGTTTAGTCTGTAAAAACACACTGTGTTTCTAGATTTTATGGACACCTGTAGCTCTACCTTATTCTTTTTAAACAGCAGCATAGTATTTTATTGCAAGTTTAATTTATAATTTATTTAACCAGTCAGCTTCTTTTGATTTATTTGTAATCTTTTGCTGTACTATATTTTAGTGACCAGACCTATGTATATATTTTTCTGTATGTAGCTTATATTGGAATTATTTGGCCAAGAGATACATTCCTTTTAAATTTTGCTGATAATCCTCTACAAATCTTTTATTTTGGGACTTGTATCATACTTTAAAAAAAATTGCAGTTGCTTCACTATAACATTAAACATGATTGGACAGATCCTTTCCCTGTTTTTCTTTTTTATAATTTTCTTTATAATTTTTATAGTTTTATTCTTTCCAAGAATTTTAGAATAATTTTTTCATTTTCCTAAAACTCCACCAGAATCTTAAGTGGAATTACATTAAATTTATATATTATGTTACAAAAAATTGACAACCTTATGATATTAAATCTTCCCTCCTGGAGACATGATTTTTGTATTCATTCAAATCTTGATGTTAGAAAAATTTTATATATTTTAAAAATATATTTATTCCCTGACAGTTATTGTTAACTGTTATGAACTGCCTCACCCCTTTTATCTCTTACTTCTTTTAGTTAAATGAAAAATTATGTTTTAATATTTATGTTTTATCTAATCACTTTAGTGATTTGTTAGTTTTAATAAATGTTAGGTGGTTTGCTATATTTTGTGGGTATAGCATTGTGCTGTCTGGAAAACAACAGCATACAATATATGCTATATATGGAATCTGTGCTGGTGAATTTCCTAATGTACCAGCCACACATTTGTAAAATAAATTTTACCCAATCTTTGAATACTTTTCTGAATTTAATTTGCTAATATTCTATTTAGGAATTTTTTTAAAAGCTATATTTCTTATTGCTATGTGGCTCAAAAGGAGAGATGCCCCATAGAATTTGAGGAGGAAGCGGCATTTGAGATAGATATTGAAGGACAAGTGGATTTTCACAGTTAGACATGAATTTACATTTTAAGTGGAGAGACCCGTATGAGCAAGGACAAGGAGAATGAAAAGTAGAAGAAAAATAGAAAGTATTTCACTTTAATAGGAACATAGGATATATGTAGCTAGCTGTTCAGGAAGTAAGATCAGAAACCAGAAACCATGTCTTTCTAACTGTAAATGCCTATGTGAAGAATTACTCTTAATTCAATAAGAAATGGGAAGTGAGTGATTTTTGACATGGAACTCTGCCTGTGCACTATGAAGCATTCGAACTAACTTGTTGTCAGGAGGAATGGTGATCACTATCTAGATAATATTCCATAGCTCTTGGGAAATTTTTACTGAATTGCCTCAGTCGGAAACCTGATTTTTTTTTTCTTTTGTTTTACTTGGATGCTTATGTCCTTCATGCTCAGAAGAATTTTATGGTTTTCAAGATGTGACTATATAATGAGCAAACAGAGTTTGTACAAATGAAGGAAAGTATACTTTGATTATAGAATATCATGCCAACAAATCAGATAGTAATGAGTGACATAAAAAGAGGAGGGTTTTCTTCTGAATTCAATATAGCCTTTTTAATTGCATGTGTTAAGTCTTCTATAACGGGGAAAACATAACAGGTGGTATATTCAGCAGCATTTTTGAAGATGCATTGGTAAGGAAGGCTAGCAGTGAAACTTAGTTACATAAACCTCCTGAGAAGGATACTTGTCATTAAATGTATTAATCAACTTTCTGTTATTTAATTCACTTTTTTTCTTAGAAAAAGCATGCCTATTGCTATTAAATGTCATAAGTCTCAAAAGAAGAGATGTTTATTGCTCCAATTAAAAAGAGAACACTATAAAGATGCTTTGATACAGAGTCATTTGTTTTCTCTGGCCACTGACATCGATATATTTGAATATGAATGAATAAGCCTTTTAACCTTTCATTTAATTTTTTTGTGACAAAATCATATTTAATGGTGAAATCTTGTGTATTATTCTTTGTCAGTATTTAGATAATGATAAAAATGTTGACTGTTAATGTAAGAAAAAAGTTATGAAAAAAAGAAATACAGTGTGGTATTAAGTAAAGGAAAATAGGTTTTTGGAAGTGGTCTTTGTCCTTATGATGTATGTAATAAACTGGAGAAGACCAAGAGTAAAGAATTTAGCAAATAAGTACAAATTCTATAGTTGTTACAAATAGGGAAGGAAAGTGTGAGCCCTGAAGTTTTGACAGGGGATTTTACTTGGTTTGTGGGCTTACAGAGGAGACTGAGATTGAGGCGGTGGTCACCAAGTCTCAACAATTACCTAATTATGAGTTTTGAGGGGCCAGTTGGGTGAGTGGCAACGGGAACTCAACAGTAATGATACTTTTAACAAGTGTTTGAGTTTTGTGAATTTCTTCAGTTTGTAATTATTTTTAAAAGTGAGATTTTTGGAGTTTTCTTAGTATTCATTGGGAAAGACCAAGAGAGTATTACATTTATAGAGAGTATGACAGGAAACGTTTCTATCCTAAATATTAAACCGAAAGAGTCTTTTTACGTTAAAGGAAAACTCAGAAAAGTAAAAACTACTTTGTTGACACTTTGAGTCCTAATTATCCCGTTGATTGTCAATAGCAGTATGGGAAATTTAGGCTTAGGTATTTGTTTTCTTTAAGCCAGTGTTGCTAGTTGGCAGGAAAGTAAGCTTTTCCCTTAACCAAGAGTGTTAAAATTAAAATGTCTGTTTTATAGGATTTTTTTCATTTAATTAGCAACCCAAATTCTCTAAAACCTGAGCTCTCAAGGAAAAAAAAATCCTAACCAGAAAAGCTTATGAAACAGAAGTTCTTTTAGAACTTGAAAATTTTGAGTTTCTTATGAAATTGTAGACGTAAAATGCTGTTATCTGATCTATTGCTGAGAAAAGGATCCTTCTTTAATTCCTTAGTTTTATATGAACCATCTTAATCCTTGTTTTTGTTTTTTGCTTTACTTTTTGGCATTTAGGGGCACCTGGGTGGCTCAGTCTCATAAGTGTCCGCCTTCGGCTCAGGTCATGACCTCAGGGTCCTGGGATCAAGCCCTGAGTCAGGCTCCGGAGCAGGGAGCCTACTTCTCCCTCTCCCTCTGCCACTCCCCCTGCTTGTGCTCTCTTGCTCTCTTTCTCTCTCTGTCAAATAAATAAAATCTTTAAAATAAAAAAAATAAACAAGGCATTTATTGGCCATTTACTCTGTGCCAGGCACTGTTCTATGACTTTCTTCTATTAATTGATTCAATCCTCACAACTCATCTCTAAGGTATATATGATTATGTCCATTTTACAGATGAGGACCCAGTGAGGCACCAAGAGCTTAAATAACCTAGTAACTTGCCGAAGGTAACACAGCTGATAAGTGGTAGATGAAACTAAGCTGTTCTCTTGATATTTAGGAATAAATGATGTCTATAATCCTATTGCATTTGTTTTTCTAATATTAGCTTATTTTTGTGTGTGTGTGTTTGTTTTCCAGGATTTGTTGATGTACCTATTACAACTGGTCCAAGCTCTCAAATATGAAAATTTTGATGACATAAAGAATGGATTAGAACCTACCAAGAAGGATAGTCAGGGTTCAGTGTCAGAGAGTGTGTCAAATTCTGGAATAAATTCTGCAGAAATAGATAGGTATGGATATCCAGGGAGGACTTATTTTCAAATCTCCCCCCTTTTCAGACTTCTTTCCTTTTTCCCCAGATGTACCAAACCCTAGTTGGTACTAAGTTCAAAGTTTTACCAATGAATGTGGTATGTATACTCACAGAACACAAATTACTATATTGCAGAGCAGTGTTTTGCAAGCTGTGGAGTCAGAATACCTGAGTGAAAATCTTCACTCTGCCACTTACTAGCTGTGTAAACTTGTGGAAGGTGCATATTCTCTGTGTGGCCCCAGTTTCTCATCTTAAAAATGGGGATATAATAATAGTAACTGATCTTTGAGGGCTCTTGGAAGATTAAATGAGTTAATATACTAAAGCCTTTAGGATACTGCTCAGTAAGGGCTAGATGCTATTACTGTTCAAGCAAAAATAAAATGAAGGATGGGGCATGTTAGTGGGCTCACTTTATTGTATGTTTTATTGGCCACTTTTCACCTTTTTAGTAGTTAAAATAAAAAAATAGCATGGTACTTGAATTAAAAGCTGTTAACAATAATAACAACAATTAAGAACTCATACCTCTGTAGCAGACACTGTGAGGTGGTCCACATACATTAACTCATTTTAATAATCCTCTGAAGTAGGTGTTCATATCCCTAATTCAGAGATGAAGGACTGAACAAGAAGTTAATTGTCCAGAGTCTTCTATCCTGCAAATGGTAGAGTTGACTCCAAAGCCCATGTTGTTTATACTTTGCCATTTTGCTTTTCATAAAGTCTTAAAATTTGAGATAAATGGAACCTTTAGGTGAGAAACCTGAGGCTCAGTAATAAATTTATGTTGTGAAGGTCATGAGATTTGTTAATGACAGATGAGGTCTAGAATTCAGATTTGCTGAATTAGTCCAGTTATTATAATTACCACATGAGCTCAAGATTGTATTTCTGAATTTTTCATTCTGATTATGATACTGCTGTTTTTTTATTTTCTGTTTCATTTGAAGAAGAACTGAAAAATGGGAAAATCATTTTTTTTCTTCTGTAGGCTGCTTTGTTTTTTTCTGTTTTTAAGAGAAGAGACCCCCCCCCTTACTTTGTCTCCCACCATATGTTAGAGGCCTTCACTCTCCAGTCATGCTTACTTATTTACCTTCTTCCTCCCTTATGCCACCTAGAATATTTTACTAGAAGTCTATTAAGATTTTATGACAAGGTGTAAAATGTAACCCAGTATTTCCCAAATTATGGTCTGCCGGTCACTAGTTTATATGTTTTTTAAAAAGATAAAAAAGAGATGGGTTGGTCTTGTGGCCAGATATGTTTGAGAAATGCTGGCTTAAATTAAAATGGGCTTTAAAAAAACACTACAGTACTTATCAAAAACCTGTAATATACCAGCTTGCACAAAAATCTTCCAAGAGGCTGTTACCCGTATTTTTTAATTGTAGGCTTTTTCTAGGACATAATGTGACTCTAGTGTTGCACAGAACACGCTTTAGAAGTGATGCTTTAACCAGACAAAACTGAGGTGAACTGTGCTAAAAAATGTATATCTTCTCTTACAGACAGAATATTTTACATATCAGTGATATCTCCTTTATTTTTTCAGCTCCCAAATTATAACCAGCCCTCTTCCTCCAGTGTCTTCCCCTCCTCCTGCAGCTAAAACAAAGGACAGTTCAGATGGTGAAAATCTAGAGGTGAGTACAAAGCTTTTCAAGTTTTTACAGGAGCTATTTTACCAGATGAACATTTTATGTTGGTCTTTAAAACATTGATTTTGATTAATAAACAAAATATTACAACTTTATTAAATAACTTGTTATATGATGCATGTTTATGACTTTTCCTCTCAGCAAAAAGTGCCAGATAATCTTCAATTCAAGACATTTTATTGGTGCTTTGGGCATATAAATGGATTAATACGCAATATGAAAATAAACTGGGCTTAAATATTTTATTAAGGAAACTCAGACTATTTATTGTTAACATATTTAGGAACATTACTGTAGTTGTCGGTGTTTGTGATTACATTCTAGAAATGTATGACTTTGATACTAGGGATTATATACTAAGTAGCTGTTTTTAACTCATACAGAAAAATTAAGTGAAATCTTTCTAAATAATTAGACTGATTTTTGAGTTAAAACAGGCCAAATAGGCTACTGCTACTCTGAGAGGTACATTTGGAAGTACATTTGCAGAAACTGATGTAATATGTTCTTGAATTTCTCCCTAAGACTTCTAATTTGAGAACCTTTCACACCTCTGATGTTGAAAATAAATTATACATGCTTTGATACTAGAAAGTAAAGTTGATTTTAAAAAATGTGTATACACACACACACACACACACACACACACATTGCTTTTAGTCAAATTTTAGCAGTTAATGTTGATGACTGAATGACTCTTGCTTTTATCATTAACTGTTAATCAGAGTTTGATATCTGCCTACCTTTTGATATAAGAGAAAATACTGAGAAAAGAATTTTAAATTACAGGATCATAGAATCCGTAAGGGAGCCCTTTAAGAAAGCATTCAGCTCCAATTTAATTGTTTTGCCTTGTCAAATCTAAGATACAGATATACTGATTCAGTAATTCATTCTTTCACACATATGTTTTGAGCTCTTATTATGTGCCAGAAATATTCAAGATGCTGGAGGTAGAGAACAAAATGGTCAAAATCTTTGTCTTCACGGAGCTTACATCCTAGTGTTTGTGCTGATGGTAGTCAATAATATTTATATATAGTAGAAGAGATAATGATATCTACTTTCTAAGGAGAAAAATAAATCAGAGAAGGGTGATAGAGGGGGTGTTGGATAGGGTTAGACAATTGCAATTTTGAAAAGTGGTCAGAGAAGGCCTCCCTGGAAAAGTGACATCTTTTGTAAAGGTGATATAGGCGAGGGAATAACCGTGTGAGTGGTCTGGGGAGAGGAGTGTATCAGGCAGAGGGAACAGCAAATATAGAGGCTTGAGGACCAGAGCTTAAGTGTGAGGAACAGCAGAGGATGCCTCGCTCTGGGGAGTGAGCGGAAGGGAGTATGGTAAAAGAATGAGTCAGAGAAAGAGCAGGAGTCAAGCAGGGTTTTGGAGGCCATGTTATCAAATGACTTTTACTTGCAAGCTATTGAAATAATCCACATGAGACTTGTTGGTGGCTTCAACTAGGGTAGTTTACACTGAAGATTGTTTAAAGTGATTGGATTCCAAATGTTATATTCAGAATACAGTTTTACACACTATGACTCAGAACTTTTAAACTAAAAATAAAAATAGTTTTTATATATTTCTGATATTTCTCTTGTGACTGTTGAGCCTGTTATTATTACTCAGTGATTAAGCCATTTTGTCTTTTCTCAGCTGAATAGTTCTATAAATAGTTTAGGTAATTCAAGCTATCTCAGAAAGCACTGGGACTCATTTTGAGTATTTTTTTCCGCCTCCCCCTTCCTCCACTGCCCCCAGGAGAGTAATAATAATACTGTACCAGCAGTCATCACCTTTAAGAGACCTGTAAACAGTTCAGTGTTTGGAGATGTCAGGGTGCATCTGACCAAGCTGAAATTCCCCCGCTTATCACTGCAGATACCAATATTCTTGTCTCCTCTCTGACACCTGAGGATTGTCTCACTTTCTTCCCCTTTCCTTTCCCTGTTCTTGGAGTTTTAGGAATCCACTATGCATCTGTGGCCAAACATTAGAAAGAAGATAGACACTCGAGTCTCATTGCTCAAATATGGTCATTTTCCATAAATTCCTTGGATTTTTGAAAAGAAGATATATTCCCCAATTGTTGGGTACACCATTGTATGTATGTCACTAGGGCAAGCTCATTCATTGTGTTAATGAACCCTTTCCTGATGTTTTTCTGTGCTTTATCTCTTAAGAATTAGGGTAAAATTCCCCCTGTATGATGGTGGAATTGTCAGGTTCTCCTTCTTTTTCTGTTGATGTTTGCTTTAAATATTTTGAAACTATTTTATTAGGTGCATTCAAGTAAATTGAATCTTTTATCACTGTTTATTAGTAACCCTCATTATGTTGAGTCATATTTTTTTCTTTAAAGTCGGTTTTGTCTGATAGTAATAGAATTTTGTCTTGGTTAGTATTCACTGGTATACCTTATATTTAGGTTTATCTCTGGAAAACATCATATAGCTAGATTACGTTTTTTAATACAACTTAACACTATTGTCTTTTAACTGGAACTTTTCCCCCATTTTTATTGTGATTAGAGCTATGCTTGGATTGATTTCATCATCATAAGTGGTACTTTCTATTCTTATATATTTTTCCTTTGCCTGTATTTGGCTGGATCCCCTCCCTATCCTTTGTCTCTCTCCTCAGGTTGGAGGTTATATTGTCTCTATCCGTTCTTTTACTGGCTATGCTAGGCATTTTAACATCCATCCTTTAAGTTTGGCATAAGAAGTACTATCCTTCTCCAAAACAGTATACCTCTTTACTTGTATGTCACTTTTACCCAGTGACTTAATTTAACTCCCTAATTAGATAGTAATTATTATTGTATACAATCAGAAACTATTTAGAGGTATTTACCATTTCTTTTTATATCTCTGACCTTCAATATGAGATCATTTTCTTTTTTCCTAAAGCACATTTTTTTCTTTTGTTTTGAAATTTTTAAAAATTGCTCACCCAAATTGAGTTTAAAAATTTATAGTACAGGTTTCTTGTTTCACATGTTTTTTATTTTTATTTTTTAAAAGATTTTATTTATTTATTAGAGTGAAAGAGAGAGCATGAGTAGGGGGAGAGGCAAAGGGAGAGGGAGAAACAGATTCCCTGCTGTGTGGGTAGCCCGATATGGGGTTCAGTCCCAGGACCCTGAGATCATGACCTGAGGTAAAGTCAGATGCTCAACTGACTGAACCACCCAGGCTCCCCTCCAAATGTTTTTAAATTTAATTCTTCCCTGTCTATGGTCTGTAAATAGTTCTTTAGTGAAAAAGAAAGTATCAAATGCAATCTGTATTTTCTATTTAAATATATATAATATATAAAAAATTATATAAAAGCGTAATATCCTTCTCATAAAGTCAAAGATAAACTTTAGGCTTAGCTTCTACCTGTTAAATTCATGGATTCATTATTATGGCTTTCTGATTGAGGCATTTCCCTACTGGGTTTTTAAATGTTGCACATTTAAAAATCTAGTGCTAAGGCTTTAGCTCTAAAAATAAGAGATAAGATTCTTGCCACTTCTGAAAGCACTGGTATATCTGCTTTGTGATAACCACCTTTTATTACTTTAGCTTACTTTCTGAGATACCCTCACCACATAGAATCTTCTAATCCATCAATCTCTACCCCTTTCTTTGTTCATCAACCCCCTTCAGTATTTGTTTTCCTCTGAATATAGCTTTAATCCCATGGCTCAGCATTATAATCATTCTTTTATTAGTACTTTCAGTTCCCCTGGTAAAATCTCTACCCTTGATAAGCCTAATTAATTACCTAGTTGCTCTATGCCTGAATATTGCTGAAGAAAAGCAGGTAGCCTATCATGTTGGCATCACTGTGAATTCATGAGCACCGACACCAGGCGGACACAACACTGTCTGCCATCTTACATTTCTCTGGGTGGGCTGCTCTTCCTGCTCTGCAGTGGCTCTTTCATACTTTTTGTGTTCTGTTCTTCATGCCCTGCTTCATACTTAGTGGAAACAAATAGAAGTCACTAGGTAAGAATGGTCTCAATTTCCCATCACCAGATTTACAGAGGTGAATCCTTTTTCATTCTGGCCTTTGTTTTCTTATACAGAAGAAGTATAACTCCCTTCAAAGATATGTTCTCTTCCTGGTAGAAATACTCAACTGTGTCAGTATCTCCCATCTGAAAAATTCAGAAATGAAACAAAACAAAACAAAAATTCTCCCTTGACACCACATCCTTTGAAACAGCACTTTATCTTCTTATTTCCCTTTAAATAAGATCAGGCTTCTAAAAGGAGTTGTTTGTACATACTGACTCTTCTTCCTTTTTTGTCCTCCCAGTCTTTAATCCACATCATTCTGGCCTTTGCTTCCCATTGTCAACTCAAAACTTACCTTGCTAAAGTAGAAAATAACTTTAATGTTTATGATTATGTATACTTCTCAGTTCTTGTTTGCAGTATTCAGCAAAGTAAGTGGCTTCCTTCTTGAAGGACTCTTCTCATGGTTTAGATGTTACCGTACGACCTGTGTTTTCCTCTCCTGCTCTCTGGCTGTGCCTTCTCAGTTTCCTTTGTTAGCACTTTCTCTGGCCTGACATCTTAATGTTCCTCAAGGTCCTCTTCCCTATTCTCAATTTATACTCTTGCCCCAGGCTCTACTGATAAACTCAAATTTATATGTCTCGTGCATTTCTCTCATCTGAGTTCTAAATTCATATATCCAAAGCCCTATTGATCTCCATTGTATATCTGACAGGCATTTCAAAGTTAATATTTCAAAATACAATTCTCTCCCCACACTCCGGCCTGTTCCTCAGTTGGAATTTCCATCTGTGCCGTAGCAAATCAACCCATTTGCTAAATCCATAAATTTGGGAGTTACTGGCAATTCCTTTCTTTCCTTCTTCCCTCCTTTCCATCAGCAAGTCTTATTAATTATACTTCCCAAATGTTTTAAAAATCTGTCTATTTCTCTCTGTCTCTGCTCCTATGGTTCACTCTTATACTCCTGTAATAGCCTCCTAACTGATCTCAGGCCTCTACTTCTCAGAGCAGCTGGAGTCATTTTCATAAAATGGAAATCAGATCATCTCACTCCCTGCTTGAGATCTTTTGTGCAGTATCCATTGCTTTGCAAACAAAATCCATACGCAATAGTGTGACCTTAAAGGTCTTGCACAATTGGGCTTTGCCTACCTTTTTAGCCTCCTTTACTTTCATGTTCACCGAATTTTAGGTGTGCTCGGCCTTTTTAAAATTTCTTGAACAGTCAAGTTTAGGGCCTCTGTCCATAGTGTCATTTTGGTCTTGCCTGATATCATATCCCCATTGCTGCCTTTTGTGACCTCCTGATCTAAAATATTTCTGTGAATTTCTTTGATGTCTCTCTTCTCCACTACACGTTAAACTTCAGTAGGACAAGTAACTCTTGTGAACCATGGTGTCGTTAGCCTCTCATATATTGCCTAATTTAGAATAAATATTGGACGGAAGGATGGAGGGAGAGATGGATGTGTAAAAATATGATCTGTGACAAGAGATACATAGATGAAAACTGATAGACAAATGTAGACTCTCTTCTTTTCCCCCTTGTTAAAGCAGATGGTAATAAATATACATTTCTTTTAATTCTTTCAGCAAGATCTCTGCACCTTCTTGATATCAAGAGCCTGCAAAAACTCAACACTGGCTAACTATTTATACTGGTATGTGAAATAGCTTTCTTTTTGTTTTCTGATTACTGGTTAGGACTATTTTTCCCCATACTATAAACGTAAAGGCAATTTAAAATAGGGGATGAGAAGTCCTCGAAAGCCTAAATGTAGTATTTACATCTGCCTAGCTGTATTTCTTTACAACTGTGTGCACGGAAGTACTTGTTAGCACTACTGTTTCTCTTCCCTTCACTGACTTTCCGGGATCTAAGATAAAACTGGGGAAGGTAATAGGTTTTGCAGTTGATATCTATTTGCTTCTTATGCTATTTAAGTAGTGTTAGTATGATTCCTCACAATCCTTCAGGAGTGTGTATTTTCACATCATTTACCACAGCATTGGAATCACGCAAAAAGAGGAAGCTGGAATTTGAAGGTACTTCTCTCATGGATGAGGAAACTGAGGCAGAGGCAAACTTGGTGGCACCTCAGTTAGAATTAGATCGTTTATTTAGCACTTTGCTATTTACAGAATCCTTTTAATGACCTTTTCTCCCTTGTCCCCATGAAGATAAATGGGGCAAATAGAAGTATCTCTGTTTTACATGAGACAGGTTTCCTGAGTGAGGTGAAGGGAAGAGCAGCTAAGGCCATAGAAAGGCTGACTGACTTCCTGAGACACAAGGAGTATGAAGCCTGGCTCTCTGTCTGCATCCGTCACAGAATATTTAGGTGTAAAGGACAAGTAGCTTAAGCCACAATGAACAATATTTTGGTTCAATAAAAGAAAGCACTAGGATTAAACACTAGACAAGAGAGCCTTCTCCAGTTTTGTAGAGCAAACAAAGGGCTGAGCCAGCTGGGCAAACCCTACCTGAAGCCTCTGAACGTTCAGAAACATTTTTAAACTTATTGACATACTTGATAGTATTTAACTGTGGAAATTGTTTCTGATCTAAAATACTGCCTGATTTATTGGGTTTACTTAAGCAATAGAAATGAATTGCTATCCATTCCAAAAGCTCATTATTTTTGAAGTACAATGAGGCATTTTGCTTTCCATGAAGAAATTAAAGTACTGTCTTGTTTTAGACTGAGTTTGGAAAACTATCCTGTAGGTCAAATCAATCGTTAATTTCATTCTCCCACTCTCCAAACTTAACAGTTTTCTGAACACTGCCCTTGTAGCCAAGAAATATGCAACTAAACCAGAGAGGTTCTTTAACAAACACAGCTGTCTGTTAATGTACATATGCAGTAAATAATTGTTTAGTTTCAACCTTTATGGTTCCCTTTATAGTGAAGAAAAACTGCTATCAACAATCTTAACTAAATCTGTCATTTTTTCCCCCTACTGCTTTGGAACCTGTAATTTTTTTTTTCCTGTTGGTCCTAGTAATAGAAAGAAAAACACCTCTTTATTTTTATTTTAGCAGTTTAATATAATATTCATAAAACTATATTTCTCTCACCGTAAATGTTAGTATGTCCTTGAAAAATACCCACAGAACGTTTTGGCTAGTTGTTAATCACTCTTTTTACTTTGAAAAGTTTACTTGGCAGTTCTCATAATACCAAATAGCTACTATTTCGTTTTAATGTAATCTCTTGCTTCTTAATGTTCTCCATATTCCAATCTGAATTCTTAAGTGTATATCTATTCACTGGTGTTATGGAAAATTTCTTCATGAACATCTAAGTAAATATTTAAAAGGAAATAAAAAAAATACAGCACTCAGCATGTTGCTGAGTTTTGGGGTAAGCTTCTTAGGTATTTTAAAATTAAGATTTTACATGTTTTTTAAATCATTTACTGAGAATTCCTTTATAGGTATTTTTATTTTCTTGCAGTATTCATGAAAAGTTTTCTCTGGCTCAGAATTTATAGTCTAGAGTAGTCACTGTTGTGAGAGCTATGTGTGCATATACTGATTATGTGGTGTTTTGAAATTATGTATTCTTCGGATTTGACTATAGACAAGATTTCATTGTAAAATCTGAAACTAGTTGTGATAGAACCCTTGATTTCTTATTTCAAGTAGGAAGAGTTTTCAAACCATTCTAAAAGCAGCTAAACAGTAGGACACCTATTAGATGAGCAATTTCCAGCAAGGCAACAGTTTTCCATTCAGAAAGAGTGCTTTGTTTTCCTCCATAGATAATAAACAAAGTGCAGCTCCAACTCCCAGTCTTATAAGCATTCCATCAAACTTAGATTTGATTTGTGTTTTCCTGCTATATCTCTGATTCATTGAAGCAATAGCATGTGCTATGTCTGCTCCTTCTCTGAGGAGTAATTGTTTTTCCTGTATTTACAGTCTGCATATTACATTTTCAGAAATACTCATGGGGAGAAAAAAGCTGTTGATGTGGGCTTCTGATGTTGGTAGACACTGCTTTTGTGATTGTCGGGTGAAAATATGGAAAATAATTTCAGTAGTTGGCTTAAAATGATCATTCACTTCCTTTGAACATGGACAGAGTAGTATAAAAATTTTAATCAAATGTAACAATTTAAAGTCCTCTCACTCTAAGCGTACTCTTATTTTAACAAATGTATTAAAATAAAAATTTTAATTGATTGTGCTATTTCCTTCCGAATCTTTTGAATTTCTTTTTTTATTTGTTCCCTTTCCAGTGATTTAAATGGGATTCCTGCTATGGCTGAATCCTTAGGGGCCTATAGTTGTGCAGACAATCCTTTTAAAATGAGTAGTGTCAACCTTTTAAGCCACAGAGGGGAGTTATAGTCTCCAGTCTGTAAAGTGTTGGGCATCAGGATCTATAAATCGTTCCAGTTTTTTATTTTATAGCTATTTCAGTATGTTGAAATTGAAAGTAAACTTTGGATGCTTTGACATGTTTTTCTATAACTTTTAAGACCTTTCAAGGTAATAAAGGTTACTTACCCTACAAAACAAAATTGCTGGGAAGCAGGTAGCCCACTGATGTCATCTTACAATGGGTACCTGGACAGTTTTGTCTGCATTTCTACTTGAAGATGATAGGTTTCAAGGGAATACCTTAGAGTGCTTTGTAGAATCTACTTACTGCTGTGAACTGAGAATTCAGAAATGATTCAAATCTAGTCTTGATCTAAATTTGGCCTTCATATTTGGAGATGATGTTGTCATTTGCATTTTAGATGGACTTTTCTTTTTGCAGCAGAACTTCGGTTTGGAAGATTTTTTTGACCTTTATCATGAGCATCAGTGTAGACCCTCAGTCACAGGAAATAGCTGTGACCATTGTGTTTACTTGGTGGTCAGGGAGATCTGAACAAAAGCAGGGGAGCCTACATGTTCTGGTCATCTGTATTACTCATTTAGAAATGAATTTCTATGTAAACACACAGAAAAAGACAATATACTAAGGTAATGGAGATAGTCAAGGACTTTAAAGGATGGAAAGGTCTGAAGAGGATTTGAAAAGGACTGTATATTGACAGTTTTATAGTTTAGAATCACTGTCTATTTAACATTCCTGGGTGGTATCCTGAAATGACCAAACATTCTGGAATACTGCCAATAGGAAATAAGAGTTTCTCTTAACTTATCTAGAATAGAGTTGTCCCGTGAAACTTTCTGCAGTGATGGAAATTATCCATAATGTTGCACATATGGCTACTGAGCACCTGAAATGTAGAATGTGTGAGTGAAAAACTGAATTTTTAATTTTTATTTAATTTAATTAATTTTATTTTAAAATTAGTCATATGTATCCTGTGGCTCTAGAAGGCTGGCTTGCTTGCTTGCTTTCTTCCCTTTTTTTTTTTTTTTTTAAGAGAGGGAGAGGAAGAGAGAGAATCTTAAGCAGGCTTCATGCCCAGTGTAGAGCCCAATGCAGGACTTGATCTCACAACCCTGAGTTCATGACCTGAGCCGAAATCAAGAGGTGGATGCTTAACCAGTTGAGCCACCCAGGCGCCACTCTAGAAGGCTTTCTTGATTCAAGATTCAAGAGGGCCTTCTTGAAATTTTGGCTTCGAACTCCTGTTGGGAACATGATACGGTGGAAATAGTGTCATGGTTTAGTTCTTCATTTCACTTTACAGAGAATTCTAGGTTATATAATTCTAGGACTTTAAACAGCTGCTAGTATCAAGGTAAACCATTGTACTAGAAGGCAGGAGAAGAAGGCTTTTACTTTTATGAGCCCTTAAAATATTTCTGTGTATAAGACTATTATGGGTATGTCAGGGGCTACTGAAAAGATTTAAGATGTGGTCTATGGCATCAGTTTCTCTGTAACCTATGAAGGGAACTAAGAGTTAAACACATGAAACAGTTTGGTAACATCAGCACAAGTTGTCTGAGAGGCTAGGCCTATTCTCGGAAGTCAGAGAAGGAGGGACTTGTCAGGGTCTATGAAGACTCCCTGGAAGAGAGAAAATGTGTCCTGGTCTTGAAGGGTGAGTAGAATATGGAAAGATGGAGATGGGAAGGTATTTCTGGACATTACTGCAACCTGAGCAGAAGTACCAAGTGGATGCACATACTAGGAGTAGTTAGGGGACTGACCTGACTGCAGTGTGCATGCGTAAATTGAGGATAGTGGAAGTTTGAACCTGATGCTGGGCCCACAAAATCTGTGTTAAACTGGTAGATAAGAGAGAACCATTGGTGTTTTTGTTAATAGAGGTGGGACATTATGAAGGTAGTTTAAAGGAAAAAAAATTTAGGATGATTATATTGAACAACAGTGGGTTTCTTTTTAGAGCTGGAGAGGCCAGAGGAGAGGTATCTGCTGGCTAGCTAGTAGTACAGAACCATGGTAAGAGGCATTTTATAGGACAAAAAAATCAACAGAGTCTGGTGACGGATTGAGTACCAATGTTTGAAGAAGGGGAATGAGAGCTCGCGTGGACTGCGAAGTAAACACAAAGTGCCAGTGATGATTTTAGGTAGAGCATATGTTCTCTGGTCTGGCTACCGCCTCACCTCTCTTTTTTTGTATTCAGGTGATTCAAACATTGGTTTCCTGACTGATTTTTGAGAAAACTTGAGTTTGCAAACCCCGCTACAACAGAATTCACAGCCCAAATGACTGGAATATTGGTAGATTCAATAGAGATAGAAAATAACTCATTTAATTGATAAGTTCAGTTTTACACATGTTCCCTTAAAATGGACAGTGTCTTGGGAAGGGGGCCTGCTGCTTGAAAATTAGGGTGGATGAATGTAAAAGGACATGTAAAGAAATGCAAAATCAGACTTTTGGTCTGATAAAAAGGGTATATGTATTCATATTTGAGAATTAGCATTGAGATAATGGCTAGATCTATGAGATTTGAGTCATTCATTCAGCAATAACCTGGTTGAGTATTATGAGCCAGGCCTGGAAGTGCTGAGGGTATAGTGTAAACAAGACAGGTAAGCTTTCTGCTCTCATGACCTTCACCTTCTCCTGGCAGACTGCACTTTTTCCTGGAAATAATATAAAAGAAAATAAGTGGCTGTGACTTGAGATTTGAAAAACACTATCAGATTAGGGAGTTGGAAAGTTTCATGTGATTTTTAAAGATAAAAGAGTGTGAGGGTAAGCTTAGCAGGACAGAAAGGGTTCTGACCCAGGAGCCCAATGTCCTGGGCTCTGATTTCAAGTCTGCAATCAACTACTGATTGTACTGTGGGCAAGACACAACCCCTCTTTAAGTTTCACTATTGATGAAACAAGCAAGTTGGTCTAGATAGATCTGTGTTTTTCAAACTACATGTCATGATCCACTGAAATCAATTTACAGGCTCACAATCTAGTATTTGTTATTTAAAAAAAAATGAAATAGAACAGAGTAGCAAATATTAACATATAATAGACTATTGTTTTGTGAGGCTTTTTTACTTTGGGGCATCTGTGTGCACACATGTGGCTGTATGTCCTGAGTTGTGATATAAAATGTGTTTGTTAGTATGGCTTGTTCCTATCAGAACAGTTAGAGAACATTGGCCTCTAGAATCTAAATCAAATCATTGGCTATAAGACTTGGTAATTGTATAAGCAGTTCAGGTTTAAGAATATACTTAAAATCTCTTTAACCCTCTAAAACCACAATTATATGATACATAAATGGAAGGTTATATATGGATTTTTGAGAAATTGGGAGATTGGATTGGAAAAATAAATTTAAAATTGTATTCATTTTGCAGAGGTATATTAATGAGAAGTAGCTTCAGAGAAGTTTTCAGAGTAAGAGAGTCTTAGAAGAGGATTACATAGATTTTGAAAATATTGTTTGTGAGTTACTGGGTAGATATATGAGCTTAGATGATTGCTGAAAATGGTAATGCTATATGTACCTCATAAAGTATTAGGAGAAAATGCTTCTTTTGATGCCAAACTTTTTAGACTATCTAGGATATTATAAAATTAAGGCATTATTATTATTTACTTTTTATAAATGATTGTGTATGTGCCCTAATTTTCCACTTTTAAAAGAGTGTTGAAAAATGTGTTTTATTACTTCCATTTATTTAGTTTTGCAAATGTGAACTAACCTGGTTGAGTGGAAAAGTAGAAATATTTACAAAATGAATCTGACTCTCATTTCACCTCTTATGAGTGACTTAACATATTTTTAAGGTATGTGATAGTGGAATGTGAAGATCAAGACACTCAGCAAAGAGACCCAAAGACCCATGAGATGTACTTGAATGTAATGAGACGATTCAGCCAAGCATTGTTGAAGGTAACCATTTCATGTGGGGGTTGGCAAAAACACCGGGCATGGGCCAAATCTGGCCTGTTGCCTGTTTTGGTATGTCCCATGAGCTAAGAGTGGTTTTTATGTTTTTAAATGGTTAAAAAAAAGTAAAAAGAAGAATATCTTGTGACATAGGAAAATTATGTGAAAGTCAAATTTCAATGTTCCTATGTAAAATTTTATTGGAACATGGTCATGTTCATTTGTTTTCATATGTTTATGGCCACGTATGCACTGCAATAGTAGTTGAATAGTTGAAATGGAAACCGTATGGCCAACAAGACCTAAAGTATTTATTCCTTGGCCCTTTATAGGAAGTTTGTTGACCTCTGATTTAATGAAATAAACCTATATATGGAACAAATTCCAAAGCTTTACTTTTTTAATTTCCCTCTCTTCTATTTTGTTTATCAAGACTAGGTACATTTTCAGAAATCTGACAATGCTCATATTGCAGGTACTTACTACATGACTTGTATTTTTGCTTCTTAAACAGTTTTTATTTATTTATTTATTTTAAAGATTTTATTTATTTATTTGACAGAGAGAGACAGTGAGAGAGATAACACAAGCAGGGGGAGTGAGAGAGGGAGAAGCAGGCTTCCCGTGGAGCAGGGAGCCTGATGCGGGGCTCGATCCCAGGACCCTGGGATCATGACCTGAGCGGAAGGCAGATGCTTAACGACTGAACACCCAGGCGCCCCTTTAAACAGTTTTTAGAATCTATGTAAAACTATTTTCTCCTCTTAGGTGTTGTAATTCTTAAAGTGCTGTGGCACGGTTCAGCCAGCAGAGGGTGCACGGTCAGTGAGAACCCTCACAGCACTGATCTGTGATTTGCTACAGAAATAGTTGACTTCATAGCATCTTTTTTCTGCAGCTGCAGATGAACATGTTTCATGTTCTTACAGATTTAAGTCCCGTCTTACTGAGATCTTGGAGACTAAACTTTTCTACAGTTCTCAGAGCTCAAAGCTTCTCTTCATTCATCTATTGGCAGATGAAGTAGTTGGTCTTGTCTTCTAACCTCAGTTCTGTCACTTACAGCTTTTGTCATCCTGTGAAGAAATTTCACTTTCTCTGAGCTTAAATTTCCTCACCTTTAAAATGAGAATTATAACAGTTGCCTAGCCACCCTTATCAGTGTAATTGGGAAGATTAAATGAGAAAATGTATTTTATAATATTTTATAAACTGGGAATTCACTACATAAGACTTTATGGCATTTAATTTTTATGACTTATATTTTACTAAGCAAGCATGCATTATGTTGCTATTTGAGTGCTTTTATTTTTCAGTAGATTTTTAGTTCCTTGAAGATATTGTTTCTGCCATATGCCTATGCATTTCTGAAGACATCATAGGCTTCCAGTTATTTATTGAGTCATGAGTGAATGCATTTTGGTGAACGGGTTCTCTCTAATCACATGGTTGTATGTGAAAAAAAAAAGTGCTGTTTTTGATAGATTAGTATTCACTGAAGACTCAGTTAATTTTCAACTGTGGAAGAGTTGGCAGTGTTTAAATAAGCTAGAAGCTTTCTCATTATCTCTGAATCAAGATAATTAATCTTTTTCAATTTCACTTTGTATTGAAGTTTGTATCTATTAGAAGAATAAATAAAGATCACCCATGCTATTAAAGAAACCCTGATCATTATGCTACACAGAACTAATTTTCCTTTCCTTTGAATCCCTTCAGGGTGATAAGTCTGTCAGAGTTATGCGTTCTTTGCTGGCTGCACAGCAGACGTTTGTAGATCGGCTGGTGCATCTAATGAAGGCAGTGCAGCGTGAAAGCGGAAATCGTAAGAAAAAGGTAAACCTATGCGCTTTGCTTTTTGTTTATGACTAATGATGTTGCAGTATCATAAAATACTGAGTTTTGGTACTGTCTAGGTTGATATATTTTATGAAATTTGTATGTAATTTATAGCAATAGGAAGATTTATAAGCACTGATTATGTACAGGATCCTGTTTTATGAATTTATATATATACATATATATTGATTTAATTCTCACGACAACTCTATGTTAGATGCTATTATCTCAATTATAAGAAAAAGTGGGGGTAGAGAGCTTAAATATTTTTTTAAAAATTCTTTACTTAAATTCAATTTAGTTAACATATGTTGTATTATTAGTTTCAGGGGTAGAATTTAGTGATTCATCAGTTGCATATAACACCCAGTGCTCATTACATCAAGTGCCCTCCTTAATGCCCATCACCCAGTTACCCTATCCCCTGACCCACCTCCCCTTCAGCAACCCTCAGTTTGTTTCCTGGAGTTCAGCGTCTCCTATGGTTTGCCTCCCTCTCTATTTCTATCTCATTTTTCCTTCCCTTCCCTGTGTGCATCTGTTTTGTTTCTTAAATTTCACATATGAGTGAAATCATATGGTATTTGTCTTTCTCTGACTTATTTTGCTTAGCCTAATATCTTCTAGTTCCATCCATGCTGTTGCAAATGGCAAGATTTCATTCTTTTTGATGGCTGAGTAATATTCCATGTATATATATACCACATCTTCTTTATCCGTTCATCTGTTGATGGACACCTGGGCTCTTTCCATAGTTTGGCTCTTGTGGACATTGCTGCTATAAACTTTGGGATGCATGTGCCCCTTTGAATCACTATATTTGTATCCTTTGGATAAATACCTAGTAGTGCAATTGCTGGGTCGTAGGGTAGCTCTATTTTCAACTTTTTGAGGAATCTCCATACTGTTTTCCAGAGTGGCTGCACCAGCTTGCATTCCCACCAACAGTGTAGGAGGGTTTGAGGGGTTAAGTAATTTGTCCAGCATCCTTAGCTAGTAAGTATTACAGTTGGGGTTTATTCCCCGGCATTCTCAGTCCATATTTTTAATCTACAATACTTTATTGGGTCTCATTTTAGAATTTTAGCATCCTTGCATATAATGTGTTTGATGTGTAAAGGACCTCTACAGATTGTGGAGACTGGAATTACTCTGAGAAAATGAAAGTCCAATATGATTTGCCCAGGGTGGCAGAATTAGTTGTTAGTAATAGCACTGGCTTTGCATCTGTTCTAATGGCTAGTACATGGATCTTTCTCTCAAGTAAGGCTTCTGTGTGATGACAATAGATGACTATCTGTTCTTCATATGTCATTCTTCCCTCATCATTAGCCCAAATGATATGAAGGATTCACTTGATATCTTCTCTTCACCTAATCCCACCATAGGCAGATCTTTCTTGGTGACCTTTGTAAAAGAACACAACACATTTTACTGTTGTTCTCCAGACTTGTGAGAGGAAGGTGGAGAGGAAAAAAGGTGAAAAATGGAGTCAGGAGTTCAGAAGCAGGGGATCAGGTCTAAGGAGAAATGCTAGTAGATATATGTGCAAGGAATAATGTTCACAAGGTTAAGAAGGAGAAAATGGGCTGAAGAGAAACACATTTTTATTGAGATGACTTTTTTTTGTCATTGCTGTGAAAAAAATCACAAACCATGGTTTAAATAACTAAATCCCTACTGCTGTTCCTTTCTGGAGCCCCTCTCCACAGAGGTGCCTGTGTGAGGAAGCAGTGTAATCCTATATACCCACCTGCAGGAATACGGTCCCTGCGACTGTCAGTGTGGGCATATGTTTAAACCAGTTTGTGATTGTGTAACATGCTCTTCTATTTGTCACGCTCTTCTATTTGTCTTCTATTTTAGCTGTTTTGGAGGACAATTGCATACCCATTTGGGGTATCACTTAAAGCTTCCCAAAATCAATTTTCTTTTTGCCACATAGCCTATATTTTTAAATCAGACAATCCTAAATATAGTCTCAATATTGGCTAAAAATGTTTTTAGACTTTTTTTTATGGTGTGTTAAAAGACAAACAATTTTGTTAATGTAGATTTACTAGAAACAAGCCCTGGCACCATGGAGAAATGCCAAGATGGCTCTCTACTATCATTATTTGTGTTATTATTAGTAACAATGAATTCACTACTGCTAATAATTTAAAATCATATATAGCACTTTTCCATCCCCCCATTTCCATAATGAGTTTGGGAGAAATATATCGTGGTGAATGTAAGCAGTGTTAGATATGTAGGAACGTTATCTGCGAGTTATTAGTAAAATGGGTAAGACAAATGATAAAGTTTTTGCAATAGTGTTTTCCTGTGTTGACCTCTAGTTTAGGAAGAATTCTGTTGAAAGAGGTCTCTGAGTCTGGATATTTGAGTTCAATAAAAAGGCATTTCCATCAATACTTTTTAAAAATTTAATTAGGCTGCCTGGGTGGCTCAGTAAGTTAAGCGTCTGCCTTTGGCTCAGGTTATGATTGATCTTAGGGTCTTGGAATTGAGTCTGCTTGTCCCTTTCCCTCTGCCTCCCCCCCAATGCGTGCTCTCTCTCAAATAAATAAATAAATTAATTAATTAAATAAATAAATAAAATGTTTTAAAAATTTTTAATTAAAGCTTTCATTTTGGGAATGTTGTTAAATGTTGCCTTTTCAGTTTTTGATTCTTTAGGTGATAATATTCATTTATTTGTTCTGTAAAAACGTATTGCATGCCTACTGCATTCCAAATACTTTTTTAGGTTCTGGGGATACAGCAGTGAATATAAAAATTGTATCCTTATGGAGCTTTGGAGGAGAAAGTAAATAGAATAAGTGAGTGAAATATAGAGTAGATACTGTTGTATGCCATGGAGAAAAATAAAGCAGGAAAAGGAAACAGGAAGTGCTGGGTTTGAGTAGTAAGGCAGTGTTTCACCTCTCGATAGCATGGCCAGGAAGGCCTCAGTAGGAAGTTGGCATTTGGACAAAGACCTTGAAGCAGGTGAGGGAGTAAGCCATGGGCATATCTAAAGAATCGACTGTTCTAGCCAGAGGAACATCAAGGACAGAAGCCTGATGTGAGAGCATGTGTGTGTGTGTGACATATTTGTGAAACAGGAGGAAGCCCAGTGCCTTTGGAGCGGAGGGAGAACGGGGCCGTAGGAGAGGAGGACGGAGGACAGAAGAAAGAAACGGAGTATATCCTCGTAAGCCCTTACAAGGACTTTGCCTTAAACATGGAATTAGCAGAGAAGCTGTTGGGGGTTTTGAACAGGAGAGTGACATGGCCTGACTTTGGTTTTAGCAGCAGTACTCTGGTTGTTTTTGGTAAGTGACTGCAAGAGGCAAAGGGGAAGAAGAGCTTCAGGAGGCTACTGCAGTAATCAAGCTGAGAAGTGATGGCAGGAGCCCAGGGCTTACAGCAGTGGACGTGGTGAGAAGTGGCTGGATTTCTCACCCGCCTTTGATCTGTTTTCTGGTTATTTTATTGTTTATTAGCACATCAATTAGAAATTGGTTATGAATGGATAACTTGAAATTCAGGTTAATAGACATTACTTCATACTTGTATATCTGATCATACATTTGGTTAGGGAGTAGATTTAGTAATTTTTATAATGGTTATGTAGAAGTTCTTACCAGTTTTCAGTTGACCTTAACTTGCACTTTCTACAGTTCAGAGGGCGAACTGGAGTATTACTGGAGGGGAAGAATCTGACTTTCTGTCTTAGCGGTCCTGGAAACATTATTTTTCTGAACTTCCACCTTACGGATTGCTGGGTTCTCTCCTGCGACGCCGCATCCTCTTAGTAGCGTTACAGTGCAGGTGCTTCATGCTGCTAGGATTGGCAGGTCAGGTTTTCCTCTTTAAAGAACAAGCACACCTGTTAAAAGAATGCAAGACTCTGGAAGCTTTCAAGAAGATTGTTCTTTTGAAATTGAATGGAAGGACTTGATCTAAACAGTACAGATGCTGCTACATGACAAAGGTGTTTCGCAGTGACTTGAATTTTTCAGTTTACGAATTCTTGGCTCAATGGCAGTACGCATGTGAGCTGAAGAAAATTGATAATATCTTAGGAAAAGTTTGATCAGACCAAGCCAGTGAACAGTAAAAGGTAGGGTTCAAGTTCCTCAAAGGGAATTGTTTACTTTTAAACCCAAAACATGCCCTGGAGCAGAATACTGAAATTCTTGCTTAATATTTGGTCATACAAAATTAAGCTTCAAATGAAATTAGTTTCTCTTTGTGGCTTCACACATCCTTTGAAAACAGAAATGGAGTCGGGGCGCCTGGGTGGCTCAGTTGGTTGAGCGGCTGCCTTTGGCTCAGGTCATGATCCTGGAGTCCTGGGATCGAGTCCCACATCGGGCTCCCTGCTCAGCGGGAAGTCTGCTTCTCCCTCTGACCCTCTTCCCTCTCGTGCTCTCTATCTCTCATTCTCTCTCTCTCAAATAAATAAATAAAATCTTTAAAAAAAAAAAAAAGAAAAGAAAACAGAAATGGAGTCTTTAAATCCAGCATGAGTGTATTCCTTACTCTCAGCTGCAGCAAGAGAGATGTTTTCCCTAACCTTGTGTAAGTCCAGCTCTTCACAGTCAAGGGATCGCTCCTCTTAAACTGTGCCGCTGCTCTTGTCAGGTAGAGTCCAAGTGTGGAGTGCTTGTCTCTTATGGGTGCATCGTCTATTTCGTGTTACTTTTATGGTGCTTTGGAGACATTTTAAAGTTAATAAGATTAGTCTTTATGTCTTTACCATATGTTTTATAAACTACTTTTCCATTTTAATGCAATCAGTTCTTTCTGATTTGTTCTCTTAGAACGAGAGACTACAGGCATTGCTTGGAGACAATGAAAAGATGAACTTGTCGGATGTGGAACTTATTCCATTGCCTTTAGAACCCCAGGTGAAAATTAGAGGAATAATCCCAGAAACAGCTACACTATTTAAGGTAATTGTGATGGATCTCTAATGTATATGATCGGAACCTGATTCTGTAAAACAAAAACAGAGACACTCCCTTCAAAAATGATTACAATGCAGATAATATCTATAATTTTGTTTGATTTAGTAAATGCTAGATAAAAAATTACCTTTTGTTTATCATTGTGTCTTGATTTACCGGTAGGTATTTTTATATGAATGTGTCAAATATTTTTTTTATCTCTGGGTTGCTTTTAATCTTTAATTCTTTGAACTTTTTATTAATTAGAGCCACACCTACTTTTTTCCATGTAAGCTTTTTTAAAAAATCCTTAAAATTTTGTAACACTTATATTACCCATTCAGTTCATAAGTTCATGTGGTTATAGTCTCAGTTAACCTTTTTAACATTTCTTGCTCTGTTATTTGTTTCTGTGACTTAAATTTTTTTCTTGTGTTTTCAAGTAGTAATTCTCTTTAGTTCTTGATAGCATGCCAGGCTTCTTTTGGCTGGCCACGACTTGGTTAGTTAGAGCTGATGGTAGCCACTTTCTCCAGTTGGGCCGAAGGACTGGGCATCATTACCTGTGAAGCATCATTACCTGTTGGGCATCATAAAGAAAGGTCTCTGTGAGACATGGTGTTTTACGTTTTGTGATTCTAGGGGTGGAAGGGCATAAGTTGCTCTGGAAAACTACTTTGTATCCAGAAAAGAAAGGGCTCATAGGACAACTACTTATGAATATAAAAAGGGGTGTGATTATAGTAAGTAGTTTGGATTTTTTTTCAAGGGTGTGTTTAAAGGTAACTTATGGCAGCCCAGCTCACACAATTGAAACATAAGTTTTTTAAAGTAGTACTGAACCTTTTTGCATGTTATGGACTCTGATAGTTTCTATTAAGAATTATTCTATTGCATTACATTTTAAGTGTAACTTGCAACTTGTTTAATTGGTTTTAAAACTCATTAACATTATAATGTGCAATTTGAAAAATCCTGGAATAGGAGATAAAATGCAACTATTTCTTAGCTTGTGTTTACAACCCACTGGAAGCTGAGATGTTAAAAGCTACACACAGACATGTAACAACTGGTGTACATGTGTACAACTGGTGTTCCTTTGGGCTGGAACTCTCAAACAAGACCAGCTTCTAATATTCTCATTCCCTGAGGACTAATCGAGAGCAGTAAATCAAAAAGGTAGTTTTACCATTTTTTTGAAACGGGATGGGAAAAAATATTTAAGACAGGGCAGGAGTTGTAAGAGTGGGGTATAGGAGTGTATATCTGCCACTATTGTTAGATGGATTCTGGACCTATTTTCTCCTTTAGTGTGCAATATTTTAATTATGTCTTAAATGCACAAAGTGGATGGTCAGTAAAATATTATGAGACATATTTTTGATCCTGATATCCAGTCTGTTTGTTTTTCTTACAACCCTTAAAGTATATGAGCATTCTTAAAAATTTGGGGTTGGAGTTTAGGATTAATGGTTCTAGGGCCTTTACTACATAACTCTGTCATAGTAATTCTTAATCATTTTGGGGTCACAAATGCTGTTGAGGTAATTTACAAAATATGTTTTTGCTTGGGGTGATGAAAGGATACTCCAAATTTAAGATAATTGAAAATTCAGAGTTTTAATCCAAAAGAGGTTATAAGTTCTAAACATATATTCACTGAAGCATTTTTGATGCCTTTTACCCCATCACTTTACAGGAAAGTTTTCAAGCATACAGCAAAAATTAAAGAATTATACAGTGAACAACTAGATACCTGCTGTTTGACTCTTCTTAACATGTTACTGTATTTGCTCTGTTGTATGTCTTAGCAACTGTGCAGAGGAAAAGTTATCTTTATTTTACAAGTGAGGAGACAGGTTAAAGAACATATGTGAGATCACCCAGCTAGTACCTGGTGGAGCCTAGATTCCTGCCACTGACTCTGGAGCTCTTGTTCTTTATGACATGTAATCTTCTGATTATTAGCTAGCTTGTTGTTTTCTCCAAGGTATCTAATTACATCTTGCTGCCAGCCCATCTTGTTTCTTTAGGTTCTGATAATTCCTTGTTTACCTTACAGGTCAGCGTTTCCTCCTGTGTGTAGTAAATCTTCGTGCATTAATTTACATCCAGATTTGAAAACAATATTTTTATTTCCAGAGTGCTCTTATGCCTGCACAGTTATTCTTTAAGACAGAAGATGGAGGCAAATACCCAGTTATATTTAAGCATGGGGATGATTTACGGCAAGATCAACTTATTCTTCAAATCATTTCACTCATGGACAAGGTGACTTAACCTTATGTTGACAGGGAACATTTTTTAATTTTGGAAATCTACAGTTTAGTGTGTATGCTGTGTATAGACACAGAGTATTTTTAACATTCAGGTACAAAGGAAGCTCAGCAGTCTCTACTTGACCTTGAACAAGTGTAGTTGTTTTTGTACATTGCAGAGTGACTCTTGTGATGAGTATAAAATGAAATTGCATGCATTTCTTTGTATTAAAACTTTTTTCTCAGTTCTCTCGATGTCAGGTTTAGTAATTCCCTTCCTCTTAGTCAACTAGATCTTTTTGTTCTTTAAATTGTATCCCTGCCCCGGCTTTAAAAGGAACATATTTGCCCTTATTTCCCTTTTTCTGAGTTCTAAAATACTTCGTGACTAGAGAGAACGGCATAAATGAGTTGGAGGAACCCTACTGTTCATTGAAAACTATTGACAGTGATTTAGAATAAGATAAAAAAAAAAATTGGCATACCATCAATAAGTGCTTAATAAATTTATTTTGATGATCAAAGTAAAATTAAGTGATTAATTTAGTTAAACCTTTAATTTAGATTTATTGCCTAAATCTCTTACATTAAGCTATTATAATACTTGCCTACAAAACTTTTTCAGAACAGTCTTTATTTTTGATTAACATATTTTATCTTTTGATCAAAAGCTGCTGCGGAAAGAAAATCTGGATTTGAAGTTGACACCCTACAAGGTATTAGCCACCAGTACAAAACATGGTAAGTTTATGTTACACCGTGGTTGTTTATTTCAGTGTCCAGTGAGTCTACTTTTCCTCTTTTAATTGAAAGTTAAGAACATTAGAGATTGAACTCATTTGTAGCACTGAAGACTGATTGTGCCTCTCTCCTTTTCTCTCTGGCTTCCTCTTGAAAACATTAAACAGTGTATCTGTAAGGAAAAATTAACACCTTTATACTGTATTTATTTGCATTCAAAACTGGTTACAATTCACAGTAGTTTCTTACACAGTAATTTGTGTCCTGAATCATCATTTGACAGTTACTGTGACGCAGAGTGGCTTTGTATCGTGCTCTGCTGAAAAAAGCCACTCAGCAAATGATGTTGCCTTATTAACTGATTTTTTTAAAGATTTTATTTATTCATTTGACAGAGAGATAGAGAGAGCACAAGTAGGCAGAGAGGGAGGCAGAGGGAGAGGGAGAAGCAGGCTCCCTGCTGAGCAGGGGAGATGTGGGGCTCTATCCCAGGACCCTGAGATCATGACCTGAGTCTAAGGCAGCCGCTTAACCTACTGAGCCACCCAGGTGCCCCTAACTAATTTTTTAAAATATAGATTTATGGCATCTAAGTCTTTCTAAGATGGAAGAACCTCTGGAAATTTGATAGATGATTCCCTAGGAATGCTTGCCTAAAACCTATTGTAAATTCCCTAGTCTTGTTACTCTCGGAGCTTCTCACCTGTAAATAACTGGGAACAACAAAAGTATCTGTTTTAGGTTTCCTGTTTTTCCCCCGGCCACCCTCAAAACCTTTTGGTGGTGTAATTCCTCTTCTCATTTCTCTCTCAGAATGATCTTGTTAAAAGTGCACTTGTGCTCTTTGACTATCCTGCATAAATTGATTTACTCACTTCTGTTTGCTCCTCGGACAAAGACAGAAGCCTTAGCTTGGTGTACAAGTTCTGGCATGCTGTGTCACACTCCTGGGCCTGTTTCTCAAGCCTCTCTTTTGCCGGTCTCCCGCTTGCTTCCCAGGAGTTAGCCACGCGGGCCACCTTCCATTTTCTCAAGTGCACCATGCTTTTTTTAGCCTTCCGGCCTTCATGTATGCTTTGGTCATTATCTTTAGCATCCATTCCTCCACAGCTTTACCTATTAACTTTCATTATCCTTCAAAACACGACTCAAATGTCCGATGCCCTCTGATCTCTGTGGTGATGTAGGTCTCCCTATACTTTTCTCTTTCATAGTACCCTTTTCTTCGTAGTATTTATCCCAGTAAGACTTGCAGGCTTGTACAGTCTTTAAAGACAGGGTCAAAGCTCTATTTTTTACATGGAAAAGTTCTTACTACATGCGAGAAAGACAATAAATATATTTTAAGTGAATGAATGTAAACTGTTCCCTGTTTGTGATCCAGCAATGAATGAGACATTTCTTACTCTAAAGGAGTATACAGTAGTTTCCTTCATTCAACTTTGATATTTTCATAGATTTGTTGTTTTATACTACTGTTGTGGTCTCTAGACTTAGTAGACTTACCTTTTCTCCTTCTTGTTCTCCCGTATAATGATGTCCTCTTCCCCTTCTTTTTGGTAGTTTAAGGGATTTATACTTTCTTCTCCTATCATTTCCAGGAAATGTCAGAAGATGGAGTATTAGACAAAAAAAGCCAGTGAACATAATACAGTTTTAGGCTTAGGTGATTGATAATACATAATTTCAGATTTCTTAAAGTGATTTGAAGTTTGGAACATTTTTAATTGGTATATGTTATAAAAATACAGAAAGAAGAAATTTTTGTGCCCAATTTAGAAAGCTTAGCTATTACTTTCTCTCCCTTGTATACAGTAATAGAAACTGGCCTAGAGAAGCATACAGATAAATCAGCTTAATTGAAAGAAAAATTTCTTACAGTTCCTGTGAATTAAATGCCAGGCTAAATATATTGTTTACAGACCTATTTAAGTTGTTCAGGTATGTAGTATATGCATTTGAAAATGAAGGTTAATCTTAGTAGAACCATTATTTTTATTGCTTAACCAATAGTTGTGCTTAATGCAATGCATATATTTCTGTGTAGGCTTCATGCAGTTTATCCAGTCAGTTCCTGTTGCTGAAGTTCTTGATACAGAGGGAAGCATTCAGGTACAGAACCAATTTTAAATGAGTTATACAATTCATGAATATATTACTGTTCTAAAAATTTCAATCTTTATAAAAAGTAGATGCAGTTAAAAATGCATGTCTCCTTTTATCACCCTTCTTCCCTCACATTATTTTCCTTTCCTTGGAAGTAAACAGTGCTAACAGGTGGGAATTCCTTCATGTTAGTACATACAGATGCTCAATTCCTTAAAGAGTGCCTGGCATATAATAGGGAAGCAGGAATTAATTAAATCAAAAAACTGTTAGTTTATGGTTATATTATATTCCAGATTATGGGAATTCTAGAATTTGTTTAACCATAAATGAACACTTGATTATTTCCAATTTTTGTTGTTATTCAGAGCAGTGCTACATATTCTTCCTCATACATGGTTTGAACATCTGTTTTTAAGACCCGTCTTGCTCTCCAATCTCGTCGCTGTCCTTTAATATAAGAAAAGGCAAACCGTTTCTAGGACCATGCCATGTGTGTCTTTGAAATTTTTTACACTTTAAATACACGGATTAGTTCTTATCACATCTTAATAGTTTATTTTGGTTGTTTTTTAAATATGATTTTTCTTTTTTCCTGTGTAAAAAAAAGTATGTAATTTACACAGAAAACCTGATATACCTGAGATGAGAGCTAATACAGAGAAGGATTTGACAGAGGATATTTGCTACAGTGTGTTTTTGTCTTTCCCAGTTTAACATGTCACAGTAAATCAGTATGGAGTTTAGATTTGCAGAAAAGTATTACTCTGATTTCTTGGCGAAGCAAGTGGTTATTTTGTTCTTTGGTTTAGGGAACAGTCACATGCAGTGGTTAAAAGCTCAGGCTTACTGGAGTCCTTAGGGTTTTCTGTATATAGTATCATGTCATCTGCAAATAGTGAAAGTTTTGCTTCCTCCTTACCAATTCAGATGCCTTTTATTTCCTTTTGTTGTGTAACTGCTGTGGCTAGGACTTCCAATATTATGTTGAATGAGGCTGGTGAGAGTGGACATCCTTGTCTTACTCCTGACCTTAGGGAAAAGGCTCTCAGTTTTTCCCCACTGAGTATGTGAGCTGTGGGTTTTTTGCATATGGTCTTTATTATGTTGAGGTATGTTCCTTCTAAACCTACATTGTTGAGGGTTTTTATCATGAATGAATGTTGTACTTGATCAGTGCTTTTTGGGCATCTATTGAAATGATCATATGATTCTCATCCTTTCTCTTATTGATGTGACATATCACGTTGATTGATTTGCGAATATTGAGCCACCCTTGCATCCCAGGAATAAATCACACTTGATCGTGGTGCATGATTTTTCTAAAGTATTCTTGGATTCAGTTTGCTAATATTTTTTGAGGATTTTTGCATCTATGTTCATGAGAGATATTGGCCTCCTAGAACTGATAAATGAATTCAGTAAAGTTACAGGATACAAAATCAATATACAAAAATCTGTTGCATTCCTATACACTAATAATGAAACAGCAGATTAGGAAAACAATCCCACTTACAAGTGACATAAACAATAAATATAAAATATAAAATAAAATACCTAGGAATAAAAGAGATAAAAGACCTGTACTCTGGAAGCTATAAAGCACTGATGAAAGAAATTGAAGATGACACAAAGAAATGGCAAGACACTCCATGCTCATGAATTGAAAGAACAAATATTGTTAAAATGTCTATACTACCCGAAGCAACATACGCATTTAATGCAATCCCTATCAAAATACCAACAGCATTTTTCACAGAACAAGAACAAAGAATTCTAAGATTTATATGGCACCATAACAGACCTCAAATAGCCAAAGTAATCTTGAAGAAGAAAAACAGAACTAGAGGTATCATAATTCCAGATCTTAAAATATATTACAAAGTTGTAGTAATCAAAACAGTATGGTAGTAGGACAAAAATAGACACATAGATCAACGGAACAGAATAGAAAGCCCAGAAATAAACCCACAATTACATGGTCAATTAATCTTTGACAAAAGAGGCAAGAATATGCAACGGGAAAAAGTCTCTTCAACAAATGGTGTTGGGAAAACTGGACAGCTACATGCAAAAGAATGAAAAATGGACCACTTTCTTACACCACACACAAAAATAAACTTAAAATGGATTAAGGACCTAAATGGGACCTGAAAACATAAAAATCCTACAAGAGAGCAGAGGCAGTAATTTCTCTGACATGAGCTAAAAGGATGCTGCAAAAGGATAGATCCTTTTAGATCTGTCTCCTGAGGCAAAGGAAACAAAAGCAAAAATAAACTGTTGGGACTATATCAAAATAAAAAGCTTCTTCAGAAACAGCCAATAAAACTAAAAGACAACATGCTGGGGTCGCCTGGGTGGCTCAGATGGTTAAGCATCTGCCTTCGGCTCGGTCACAATCCCAGGACCCAGGGATCGAGCCCCACGTCCGGCTCCTGGCTCAGCGGGGAGCCTGCTTCTCCCTCTGCCTCTCCCCCTGCTCGTGCTCTCTTTCTTTCTCTCTCTGTATCTCTGTGTCTCAAATGAATAAATAAAATCTTTAAAAAAAAAAAAGACAACATGCTGAATGGGAGAAGATGTTTGCAAATGGCATACATATCTGATAAAGGGTTAATAATCCAAATTATATAAAGAACTTATACAACTCAATACCCCAAAACCAGACAATCCAATTAAAACATGGGCAGAAGACATGAACAAACATTTCTCCAAAGAAGACATCCAGATGGCCAACAGACACATGAAAAGATGATCAACATTAGTCATCATCAGGGAAATACAAACCAAAACCACAATGAGATACCACTTCACACCTGTCAGAATGGCTAAAATCAAAGACTGAAGTAACAACAAGTCTTGGCGAGGAATTGGAGAAAATGGAACCCTGGTACACTGTTGATGAGAATGAGAAGTGATATAGCTACTGTGGCAAACAGTATGGAAGTTCCCCCAAAAATTTATAAGTAGAACTATCCTATGATCCAGTAATCCCACTACTGGGTATTTAACTGAAGAATATGAAAACACTAAATCGAAGAGAAGGGATATATGCACCCCTTTGTTTATTGTAGCATTATTTACAATAGCTAAATTATGGAAGCAGCCCAAGTGTCTGTCAATAAATGAATGGATAAAAAAGAGGTGGGTTACACACACACACACACACACACACACACACACACCATACATATGGAATATCATTCCACTGTAAAAAAGAATGACATCTTGCCATTTGCAACAACATAGATGGATCTAGAAAAGTATAATGATAGGTAAAATAAGCCAGTCAGAGAAAGACAAATACCATGTGATTTCATGTGTAGAATTTGAGACAAATTCTCAATCATTCTCTGATAAAGGATTAATATCCAAAATATATAAAGAACTTATACAACTCAATTATATCATTCATATGTAGAATTTGAGACAAAACAAATGAACAAAGGAAAAACAGAGACAAATAAAAAAACCCTCTTAACTATAGAGAATAAACAGATGGTTACCAGAGGGGAGGAGGGGTGGGAGGGAAATGGAAGAAAAAAAAAAAAGAACTTGTGCTCAAAACATCTAACTGCCTGGGGTTGAAGTTTGGCCATGCAGCTTTTCGACAATAAACCTTGAGTGGCTTCTTAGCCCTTTGTGCAAAGAAGAGTTAACATAGCCGACTTGAGGTTCTTATCTTTAGAAAGGCCCACTTGCTAGGGTAACTTTTGACTGATATCTGGGAACTTGGCCTTCAGTGTGTCGTTCCTCTGTTCCCTAACTGATAAGGGTAGTTCGGTGTGCCTAGACTGTGATACGGGATTTAAAGCCAACAACTTGCTTTCCTTCTAGAATGTTGGCAGTTGCTAGACAGAGGGTGCCTACATGACCAGCTCCCAGTAAAAACCTTGAGTATGTCTCCAATAGGCTTGCCTGGACAGAAACACTGCACCCATATTACTGCCTTTTTTTTTTTTTTTAATTGTTGAAGAAAAGTAATAAATATGCTCAGTTTACTCCCTCACAGAAGAGAGCCAGGGGGCTTACATATGGGTTTCTCCAGACTTTGCCTGTGTATTTTTCCTATGCTGAACCTCCTGTGTATACTTTTGCTTTAATAAATGTCACTTGTGGTACAACCATATGTTGAGTCTGTGACTCCATGTAACAGATCAAACTTGTAGGAGGCCTTGACCCGCTAACATACCCTTCAGGTCTCAGTTTCTGCATCTGTAAAATTTGGGTACCTACCTCTAGGATTGTTCTGAAGATGATGTGAAGTGTAGGTAGATCTTTAACATAGTTTCTAACTGAAGTAATTGTTTAAGAAAGTTGTCAATTATTATGTTTCTCTGTGAAATTACTATTTAGTAAAATAAGGACAGTGGCAGTTTGTATATTGATTCTCGGTTTTCATATCTGATCTCTGTAAATAGTTTCGCTAAGTCATAGGTTATTCTCATGTTCAACTTCAGTAGATAATTAAAAGCTATTTTCCAAAATAGTTGTTTTTGGAAAAGCTGTTCTGTTTCTCATTGCTATACGTCTTTGTCTAATCTTGGTATTGTTAGACTTTTATTTTTTTAAATTAAAAAAAAATTTTTTTATATTGTCAGACTTTTAAATTTTGGTATTTTATTGTGGTTTTAGTTGCATTTCCCTAATTAGCCACAAGATTGAGCATTTAAAAATACATGTATAAGCCATTTATTTCTTCTGTGACATGCTTATTTACATCTTTTGTTCATTTTCCTGTTGGGTTGTTTGTGTTTTTATTGATTTATAGGAATTCTTTATATATTCAAGGCATAGTCCTTTGTCAGAGGACTTTCAGAAAAGCTGACACATAGGATAAACTTTTTTTTAACAGCATGTTACTTGTGTTTTCAAATAATATATACTCTTTTTCTTTAACATCTAATATGTAAGGGAATAGTTCCAGTTGGTAGTCAGAAACAAAACAAAACACTATTTTCCCCACTGTTTCCAGACTCTTTGGACACTCTAGTGCATTTATTGTCCCCCTGTAATTCTTTTGTTCAGTTCACATCTCTTTTATATTTATCTTTCCATTAATTTCCTCTAAGAATTATTAGCACTTGCATTCTAATTAATTTACAAATTTGGGTGTAATTTTATTGAGCTTTTTTTATTGGCATATAGTTGACATACAGTATTATCTTGCTTTGAGGTGTACAGCAGTGATTTGACAATTATATACATTATGAAATGATCACCATAAGTCTACTTACTGTCTGTCACCAAAGTTATTAACAATATTATTGACTATATTCCTTGTGCTGTACTTTATATCCCCTTATTTGTTTTATAACTGGAGGTTTTTTAATGGTAACAGTAACTATACTTAAAAGATAATTTTAATAATGCATGTTCACTTTAAGGAGAATGTATGATACAAAAAAAACCCTCATTTACATTCAGAAGAAAGATAAAAGAAAGATAAATTGAGTATCGAGAAATAGCAGTAAATTTATTTTATTTTATGTAATGTTTTCCCTAAGATATAAAAGTAGCAGCATATACTTTTTTTTTTGATCTTAACTGTCTGTAAGCATAGTAATAAGACTGATTCTTGGAATATGCTTTTTAAAGTCCACATTTTATAATTACTGACTAAGTTTTAGACTAGACACTTGGTCATTTCTTATAATTTCAAAATGTCTGATTTGTTTAAGGATTGTATTGAATTTGTAAACATGTAAATTATATCTTTTCAGAACTTCTTTAGAAAGTATGCACCAAGTGAGAATGGGCCAAATGGGATCAGTGCTGAAGTTATGGACACATATGTTAAAAGCTGTGGTAAGTTTTTCAAACTCTACTTCCATTGATACATTAGAGTCAAGGAAATAGGCTATCCCAATGTTGCCATATTCATACACATTTACATTTAGCACATTGTAGGATTTTATCTTAGTCCTTTTGGGCTGCTGTAACAAAATACCAGAGGGTGGCTTATAGGCTGGAAGTCCGAGATAAGGTACCAACATGGTCAGGTGAGGGCCCTTTTGGGGTGGAAGACTTTTTGTTGTATTTTCACCTGGCAGAATGGGCTAGGGAGCTCTGTGGGCTCTCATTTTTGAGTTTTAGGATGGTAAGCACCTCCTAATACCATTACCCTGGGCAGTAGGATTTCAACATAAGAATTTTGGGAGGATGTAGACATTCCAGTCATGGCAGATTAAAATGCTCTATAAGAAGATGATTGAAAGATATAAAATCCTGATAAAAGAAGTCATTAATGTTTTGACATAATAGTAGTAACAAGGTGTAAATTCTGTTTAGTCTTTAATGGGTGTGTCTTTGCAATCACTTAACTGTGTTACCATTACAATAGTTATCTCTTCCTGGAAGCTGTTAATTTTCCCCTAAATTTTCTCTGTGTTTGGGTAACTGCAATTAGTAGACTGTGGGAAAAATCTCAGTAATAATTATGGTTTAGATAAATCTCAAGAGCTGTGTTAGGAGGATGTCTCTCATATTTTATTTTATGGTCCCTTCCTGGAAATAATAAGTGGTAGAATGCCATAGGGATTAATTCAATGTTTCGACCATTTATGCCTACTTATCCTCATGAAGTTTATATTCTAGAGGATTTTTTAAAGATTTTCTTAAGAGGTTTTTTTTGTTTGTTTTGTTTGTTTGTTTTTAAGAACTAGATTGTTTAAGGGAGGGTTAATAAAGGAGTTGACACTAGAGTTGAGCCCTGGATGGGATGTGGTACGTGATAAGTTCTTCTTATTTTATTTAAAATTTTATGTTTATGTTCCTATTTATACCTGTCCTTAAGTTAGGGGGAAACAAGTAAGGGGCTTTAATAGACATATAACAGTTGTATTTAAACTTTCATATCATTTTTTGGCTCGTAAACTGCTTATACATGACATTTTTTTATTTTTCACAATGTTCCTGTGAAGTAGTATTGCAGATTATTTTAGACAACATAATTTCTTCACAAATTTATACTTGATGATGCAGTTTTGGCTTAGAAGTATAGAGAAAATGTAATATTTCTGGGAACTTTAAAAGCACCGAAATAAAATATGTATGTATATTAAAATCCTTTACGGTTTTGATCTTATTTTTACTGAAGGAATGTAACATATGTTACATGTAACTGTGTTTACCCATAAAAATGACCACATACAGTATAGATTTAGAACTAAAAAAAATTGATTGAGACATTGCAGAGAAAAATGTATTCTTTCTTTTTACTTACCCTTGCTCTCCTACTCTGTTTTTCTTCTTTCTCTCTTACCGTCCCTGCTTTCATTCTTTGCTTTCCCCTTTCTCTTCTTTCCTGTTTTTTTAGACCTTCAACTCTGTTTTCTTTGTTCTAAAAAAATTACATATCATGTAAAGACGAGGCTAGACAGCTAAGATTACTCACGTGACAGTTCATACTGTCTTTTATAACAAGGCTTGTCAGTCACGTCTCCTGTCCATGGCCTCTCTGTGGCTTGGGCTTCTGAACTGGGTTCCAAGAGGAAGTACTCTCAGAGACAGGAAATTGCTGGTGTCTGAAGGCCTGGACTGGAGAGTCGCAGAGCCTGCCTGGATCCACCTTGAATGAAAAGTGTGGCTATTTTTTTTATATTTTTCCTAGTTCTCAGGATGCTGTTACATGAGATATTTCACACGCCTTCCAACAATTACCTTGTGTCTTCTTACTGAACTTTTAGGTATTATAAACTTTTTTACATTGTAAATCTGTTTAATAAAGAATGCTTTTTTCTACTTGAAATATAAACACACATATCATTTATAAATATTGACTAAAATTTGAAAATTTTAGTAAAATTACTAGAACAGTATATTATGGATACATGTCATAGTGTTGTACCTTTTATATAATGTCCCATTTTTTCCCAAGACCCAGTGAAAATATGACTGGCTTTTTCATTTAAAAAAAGTAGCCATTTAAATTACACCTCTTGGACACTTAAATTGAAATTGAATCTTGTACCTCTCTTTTTCTCCAAGTATTACACATTTATTCCTTCCCCGATAATTGATTTGATGGCAGGCCTTATCTTTATCTTACTTTGAATAGCCTTCTGTTTCCTATATATCTTGTTGTGTTACAAAATAATCCTTTGTGTTTCGGTGAGTTTGGTAGCATTCCAGGTTGTATTGGAGGTTGAAAGCCATTATTTGAATTTTTCATTAGAGGATTTAGTGATTAATAAGTTGCTAGCTACTTTGTACTGGAATGTGATTGTCAGACAGTATCATATAGATGTATGTGTAACTTTCGTTTTAGAAAGTAAAGTTTTGAGTTTTGGGCAGAGTGTAAGAAGAAAGTGATAATAGTTACGGTGACATTTCCAGATTATGCAAGGTTTCAGGTCTGTATCATGCAACTAAATTTGAGAACATTAATTATTCTTACACACATATCATTACTAAGTAAAGGGAAATAATTGTTTAGATGCCTAATATTTCTCTGTATTTTACTTTAAATCAAAGTTGTATTATAAAACCAATTTGAAGACATTTCACATGAGGTCATAATACTAATGGGCAGTATCCTTTGGACAAGATTCTCTTGGACAGGTATAGTATTTCCACTGAAGTTAAAGATAGCTTCAGTTCCTCTAAAAATCCCATGATCTACTTTGTGTCGTCTCAGATTGTTCTGAATCTATTATCTGTGTCCTAAAAATTTCTGGGGATCATCCCACTCTTAATTCAGATGTCTTTTTCAGGATGTACTCCTTCTCTTAAGCATTGACACTTGAAAGAATTATTGGAACATTCTCAATTCACACCCCCAACATTTATATAAATGTGAAAGAGAGAAGATCATATGCTATCTCACTTGACTTAAAAAAACGTAAATTAAAGTGACCATCAAACCTATTTATGACCCCAACCCACTGAGGCATTATTTTCCTTTGGAAAATAATTCAGTAATAACAAGGAAATATTATTGTAAAAGCAAATGCGATAAGAGAGTAGTTTATCAAAACATCTTGCCTTTTCAGTAGAGACAGGCAAGATTTATGGCATGTCTAGTTACATAAAAATTTTAGGTCAAAAGTACTGTTGCTACACATTGAATCATTATTACTCTAGAGGGATAGCTAAACAACTTGAAACAAAGTAGTGGTAAAACTAATTTATAATTAACAAAGAGTAAGTTGTAGCATACAACAACTCAAGTGCATTGATACACAGTGGTGTTCTTTTTGAAAATTGTAGTTCAACTATCCTCATAAGCATATCAGCAGTAGGAGTTTTGTATCCTTCACAAGTATTGAGCGACAAACCAGATTTCTAAGTGACTCACATCTTAGAAAGCTCAGTGTACTAAGCTCTTATGTGTTCTCTTTATGAATACCAGATGTAATACCCTTTGATAAGTCACTCACTGGTTTTTTTCGTGGAGGGCCATTTGTTATTTGTGGAATTGTGTATTTTGCAGCAGTTTTAGAGCAGTGCTGCTACTGCACAGGTAAGCCATGGACCAGCAGCACTGGCTTCATCTGGGAACTTGTTTCTATTAGTGAGTGCCAATGCTTTGTCCCTGATGTTTTTGTTTTGTTTTGTTTTTCTTTTTTTATTAACATATAATGTATTATTTGTTTCAGGGATACAGGTCTGTGATTCAGCAGTCTTACACAATTCACAGCGCTCACCATAGAGCGCTCCCCCATGTCTGTCACCCAGCCACCCCATCCCTCCCACCCCCACCACTCTAGCAGCCCTCAGTTTGTTTCCTGAGATTAAGAATTCCTCATTTCAGTGAGATCATATGATACTTGTCTTTCTCTGATTGACTTACTTCGCTTAGCATAAGACCCTCTAGTTCCATCCATGTCATTGCAAATGGCAAGATTTCATTTTTGATGGCTGCGTAATATTCCATTTGTGTGTGTGTGTGTGTGTGTGTGTGTGTGTGTGTGTGTGTGTGTGTGT